TTTTTTCACCAGAATCTATCTTACATATTTATAAGTCTACCATTCATCCTAGCATTAATATTGCTGCCACATGTGGTCTGCTACTTTCTTGACAAAATCCAAAGAAGAATCTGCAATATTATTGGTCCTGACCTGGCATCTCAACTTCAGACACTTTCCCACTGCTAAAACATAGCTTTCCTCTGTCTTTTCTATAAATATTTTTATGGTAATTGCTTGGATGAGCTTTCTTCTTTGGTATCTCAACTTTTGGAATTTAAGCACAGTACTGGATTGGCAGTTAGGTCTCATCATTTTATTGTTGAAATAGTGAAATGTAACCGTAAGTTCTATTCTAATAGTTTCTTATCTTGCTCTTCTCGCTTGTGGAAATCTCTTCCAGTTTCATGCTTTCCAGTCAACTCTGATCTTCAAAAATACAATTGTTATCATCTTTTCATACTCTTTTATTGTTGTCTCTTCTTAATAATGTTTTTCTTTTTCTCATATTCTTTCACACTCAGTAACCCCTTGGATCTTAGTTGCTTTATTGCCTTGCTTGAGGTAAAATAATTAAAGAAAAGGTCAGGACCACTAACATGACAGATCCTTCTTTGGATTTTGTTGATAATTTTGAGACATATAGCAAGATAAATGATTGATTAAGAATGTGCAAGATGGATTCTGGTGAGAAAAATTGTCTTGAGAAAACCATGAGACCAAGAAGGTTCTCCTGAAGGTTAGCATTAGCCATGCTGATGAAAGGTAACTATGTTTCTCTATGATGATTAATAGCAGTTTCATTTGGGACATGTTAAAATACTTGGGGATCACTTGATGCATGAAAAGTAAAAGTTTGTATTAATGTTACCTTCAGCATCCCAACTCCAGAGTTTCATAGAGGGACCTGTCTGTCCACTCTTCAGTGCTTATCAGCAATTGACTGCTTATATTTCTTGATTTTTTTTTTCTTCTTATGCATTTATCATTGGTGCAAGCTTTTTTCTGTATTGTTTGTATTTGTGTGTGTGTTTGCACATGTGCAACCCTGCAATTGTTTCTGCAGATGTGTGTACATGTAAGGTGTCATGATCATTTGTTCTTTTCTCTGTTTACTTTTTTTAATTTTAGGAATAAAAGCCAACAAAATGATAACCATATTGGCAATAAGATTAATATTTATTATATATTATATATTAACCTTTTGACTAAATTGAAGCACGAAGAGAAATATTTTAAAGTCAGAATTTTTGGACATGCCTGTGTCCTTTTTCAACAAAACAAGGAATAAACAAAGAAATGAAAATTGTGTCTTTAAATTTTTTATCTTTGTGCTTCAGTTTTGTCAAAAGGCTGATATATAATAAATATCATCAATTTCACTGCTTTCGACTGTACATTCAGTCATCTTCAGGCATGGAAATTATTTTGTTTTTGGTAAAATTCAGGTAGCATCCAAGATGAAAAAATATAATGCATATCGAAATATGTTTTTTTAAATGTGACAGATAACAGATCCAAACTTCTGGAGCATGCAGTCGCAATGCTAAGGTTGAATTTTTTTAAAAATTTAAGTGAGCGCATTTTTTACTAACATGGGAATTTGAGAATTTTTTTTTTTTTTTTTTTTTTTTTTGTAGGAGTTTATCAGTCAATGTGGCATGAACTAAATAGTTCAACAAGTAATGTCTCAGTTGTTATCCCAAAATTTGCACGTCAGATCAGTTCAATGAAATATGTGGTGTAGTTCAATTTATATTACATTACAGTGAATGTACAGTCAAAAGTACTTGCGTATTTAAGAAAGACCTTATACAGTTTATAATTTAAAAAAAACAAGGATCATAGCATTCTTCGAGTGATTAGTAGGTTAATGCATCTTTAAAATTTTGTTAGCAAAGGGATTTCACCATTTTATATCATTAACTTTATTAATTTACTTTTTGTATGAATGATTCATTGTAATGTAATATAAATTGAACTGCACCACATATCTGACATATATATATATATATATATATATATATATAAATAAAAGGTAAAAACAAAAAATGATATAAAGACTGCATACAATATAACATGTAATTAGAACTAAATTTAGTTTGAAACAGTTCGGACTGGCAACATCTAGTTCATGAGGTAACTGAAAATTTTGAACTGAAACCTTTATTATATCTCGTAGGGGGTTGGTTCTCCCACTATGCATATCTAAGGATATCTCTAGTTCTTATTTAGTACTGCTCAGTTATTGCTTGCCTAGCATATTTGATGATTCTTTTTGATATCTGAATTCCCTGTAGGTTACCAGGATTGACATACACCTAATGTAGGCAATCATGGCTCTCCACAATTTCCTATCCTTTTCAGTTATAAATATATTCTTTTATTTCTAAACCCTGCTCTACCATTCATTTTCTCAATCTCATCAAGTATGTTTTGCATTGTTTTCCTCTGTCCCTCTTATCCTCAATCTGTCATGTGAGTAACAAATTTTCCAAGCCCTCCTTCTTCAGTATATACCCCAGAAATTTCAACTGTCTTTTGCTGATGTTAAGCAGAATCATGAAAAGATAATATATAGTTATTATCAAAAGAGACAGCCAAAAAAATGAGTTCAGAAATCTGAAGATACATTAGAATAGTGAAAGATGCCTTCCAGAAACTATGCACAATACTAAAGAACAGGAAAATGTTTTCAGAAACAAAGATAGGGGACTAAACTGCTATGTCATATTTATCCTTCTACATGGCAATCTCCTTAGAGATGAAGAAGGAACTTCAAGCAACAGGGATAAGACATATTGGGAATATCACAGACTTAACATATGAGCAATGAGAAAGTTTTAAAGTAAATGGGAACTGAACAAACACTTATACATAAAAATCAGAAAGAGTTCAAATTTCTGGAACGTATACTAAAGAAGGTGTTGTATCCTTAAAGAGGTTACAAACAGACAAAGGTGGTACTTGAGTGAAAGGAACAGCAACATGCACATAGAAGAGAGGTTTATTGTAAAAAAGAATACATTACTGAAAGACAGGGAATCAGGTAGAAGGCTAGTAATTCCCAAAGCAAATCCCAGGTATATCCTGTAATCACTATATTTATCTACTGATATAGTCAGTCCACATAGGCGATAGGAAGTGTGGGACATTCCATTACAGCATAAGGTTTAGAGAATTTAATACACACAAGACATCTTGAAGGTTGGAGAAGCAGAAGCAAACAGCAAGTAATCTACTTAATGGGTTTGTGTGAATGGAAGGCAGGGCAGGGACAAAGAGGGATGGTAAACAATAAAACTTTGCTTAGAGCTACAAGGGACAGGAAGTTGTGGAGAGCCATGATTGCCCATGAGAGTTGTGTGAATGGATAGCAGAAGAATAAAGAAGGATGGTAAAGAGCCATTCCTTAGAGCTTGTAGTGGACCCCCACTGAAGCGGGGGGGGGGCAATATATGGCCTGTGTGCCCCAAATAAGTATGAGTCACAGCAGGCCCACTAACATTTTTAAAAATAAAAGACATGAAATCTGACAGGTCAATAAGAGAACAACAAACTTAAAATTAATACAAAATTTATTTACGTCTTATACAAAAGTATGTGTTTGGATTAAAGGAACATGAACAATGAATCAAGTAATGGAGGCAGACATAAGTAAATGAATGGATACTGACCAGTTAGAAGATCTAGATAATATAACTGTCACTAAATATTAAAAGTAGAGTCCATGTAAGTTAAGTTGGCATGTAAGTCCACAGTTCAAAAGTTTGGTTCATATGTCTGGCAAAAGTGTTGAAAAGTTGCTGGTTAAGTCCAACAATGAACCTTCTATAGTATTTTAACCAAAATGTATGGAGTATGTTATTTGAAGTCTGGATGGTATAGCCAAGGAGAAAAAAGTTCAATGGAAATGTCCAGTGCTGTTGTTGCATGGTTGCTGGTTAAGTCCAATGGTGAACCTTCCTTAGTATTTTAACTGAAATGTACGGAGTAGGTTGTTTGAGTCTGAATGATATGCATGTAGCAATTTCCTAAACCAGGTGAGTTAGGTTGACAGGAAAGCCAGAAGCAGGGACCTAATTAGCTGGAAATTTAGGGCTTTTGTAAGCAGATCCATTAACGCCAATCAACTAAGTGAGTTAGGTTGAGATAGATATGCCGGAAGTAGTGACTAATGAGTAGCCAGAAGTAATAAAGGCCAAGAATGTCAGAAGATAAGGGTCCGTGGTAGCCAGAAATAATAAAGGTCAAGAAACCGGAAGTAAGAATGGATATTAGCCCAAAATTAAAATCCAGTTGGCAGAACAAAAATAAATGGGTACGTAACTCAATACATAACCCATCCAGGCCCCTTGGTCACAAAGACGAGGGTGCCTGCATTTCACCTTCTCGTCCTCCCCCGTGATTGGAGAGAAGTCGTCGGGTTATATGATAAGGGAGTGTAATAACATTAACTGGGCCTTTAAAGTACCTAAAATCTCAAGAAAATAAAGTGTTGCTACGAAGTATAAAAATGTTCACAAAGAGTATTCAGACTAAGTTTGTAATACTGAAACAATTAAAAAGAAATTAGGTTTATTATAAATCTAAATGAACTTGCTATATTAAATAGAAGGGAGTGGGGTAATGCAATGAAAAAATGATCATGAAGATGTATAACGTCTGCCCTTGATCACATGAACAGAGTAGCGAAAAGCTACAAGGGGCAGGAAGTTGTAGAGAGCCATGACTGCCCATGCATTTATGTGAATGGATGGCAGAGCAGAGGTAAAGAGGGATGGTAAAGAGTCAAACATTGTTTAGATCTATAAGAGACATCATGATGTGGAGAGCCATTATTGATTATGTGTTTTTGTGAATGGATGAAAGAGCTAGGACAAAGAGTGATGGTAAAGAGTCAGCATATCGAAGCAAAAAAAGAATGTGAAAATCCTGTAAAAATTGGCATTTACTTTCTTTATTATTTGAAAATTAATTTTCATTTTAATTCTTTTTTTTTTTTTTTTTTTTTCTTGCAGATGTTGTGAAGGGAATTCTCTACAATTGTAATGGATAATGATGAAGACAGACAGCATGTGAATCACAAACCATACGCTGGAGTTGGCCTGCCTGGGGCAACAATACCAGAAGCCTCCTCCAGAACCAGTGTTCATGCGAATAATGTTGTTGTACCAGCTGATGGTAACCTTCCACCAACTGCAGTGCCTTACTGGTGGAAAGACATGCTACCACAGTACCCTGCAGAACAGAAGTTTCTGAATGGTTATAGTTTGCAAAATGGGTCAGCCTTTAGTTTGGAAAGGCAAAGTGAGTCAGGAGTTTACCTCAACCACTCGTCAGTCATGGCAGCTAGGCAAGGGCAGTTTAACAGCTTACCTTCCAGAACTGTTGGCAATGTTGGCCCTTACTACAACGGAACACACACAAAATCTACCTCTAGTGCTGGTTTGTATTATTTTAATTGTTTTCATAAATGAATTTGAGATTTTTTTTTAATGTATTTGGTGATAGGTTCATTCATTTGGACACTGTTTCTTACTTTAATTGCCAGAATTTGAAATTTTATTAAGTTTCTGCAAATTTTGTTGAAATGAAAGATAATAGACGTTGCACAACTGACATGTTAAGGCATGAAACAGACAATTAGGTGGGTAAGCCAGCCACCTGGATTGATTGATTCATTTTCTACAGCTTACCAACCCTTTGCAGGTTACTGAAAGGCAAAAAATATTTTCAGATTGTAGCAAATTTTTTTTTTTTTTTTTTTTTTTGAGATAATAATTGTTTAGCAATACAAACCTTACTAATTAACCCATAGCTTGGGGGGAATAGGTGGATTCATACCTAATCAGAAATTGATAACCAAACAAGAAATTATAATGTGGATATAAAAAAGGGGACCAATTCTATATTACAAACATTATTTAAAGTGATCCTTCAATTTATGGTTATGGTAGTTTCTATAAATTTATATCCCAGGGAATGTAAATAAATCTGAAAGATGTGCTTGTGTAGATAATCAATATTTCATTGATGATCAATTCATTTTCTATGGCTTATCAATCCTTTGCGAGTTATATACAGCCAAAAAATGTTTTTAGAATGTGACAATTTTTTTTTTTTTTTTTTGAGATTATTCATTCATTCATTGATTTGTTTGTCCATCTGTATATTCACTTACTAGCAGCATGGCCCGGTGTTGCCCATGCTTGATTCAAAAATCGTACGACTCATACAGCAATCGCTATCACTTGACTTAAAATATTTTTGCCCTTCCTTGCCTTTAAAGGATTGCCTTTTGCTCTTTGCTACATGCCTTACTTCTTGCCTATCTCACACTGCGAATTTTTTCTAAGCTCTATACTAAACATTAAATCTGTTACGAAAAAAGAACTAAACAAAATGAACACAAAATGATCAGCTTTAAAAAAGGACTTGTAACTGGAAAAAACGAATGAAAAAAAAATGTTAATAACAAATACTTTAAACTTTAGATTTAAATTTTTCCCACTTGTGATAAATGCAGTTATTGATTTTTTTTTGCATGCTAGTTAACATTCGTGTCAGTCAGCTGTTGGCTCTCATGCTGGCCAATAGAATCTTCCTGCCTATTCGTGGCAGCCAGCTATTGGCTCTCACTCTGGCCAGTACAAAATGGCTGCAAACTACAAAAAAACTGCCATAGAAGCATGAAAAAATCGATTATTTCCGCTATCGATGGGAGTTGGGAAATGCAAAGTCAGTCTTGGCTATCCCGCTAACTTGGAGCATGTGCATGTAAATTTTGGTGCAAATCCGTCGAAAATTGCAGCCGTGCATTCATTACACACACACACACACACAACCTGCCTTTTATAGATAGATTTATTCACTGAACTGTTGAATATCTACTTTTTTCAGGCAAGCAATATGGCTTTCATTTCTCCAGGTCAACTGCTGATGTACTGACAATATTTGTAGAAAGAGTTTATCATGCCCTAGATAAAAATGGTGAAGCCCAGGCTGTTGCATTGGTCATTTTGAAAGCCTTTGGCAGGATCTGACATTCAGATCTTTTTTTGAACTGTTCCAGTCTTTTCTATCAAATCATGAGTTATCCTGAATGGCCACTCATCTAGATCCTTTCATACTAACGCAGATGTCCCTCAGGGCTCCATCCTTGGTCCTACTCTATTTTTAATTTTCACTAATGACCTTCCTGATGACATCAGCTCCCAATTTGGTATATACGTTGATGATGTAACAATTTACTCCTGTCTTGATAGTAAGGCTTATCAGTCTGACAAGGTCAAAATGGCAGCCGATGTTTAAAATGACCTCAAGTCCATAGTTAACTGGGGCAAAAAATGGCTTGTTAATTTTAGCGCCTTCAAAACTAAACTTCTCCCCATTAATCATCTGAGAGACTCGTCTCTGCTTTCCATCAGCATGGCTGATGTTATTCTTCAAGAAAGTAACTTGGAGAGTAATGGATTCTATCTTTCCCAAAGGTATTTGTGTGTTAGTGAATATAAAGAACCCGACTGGAATTGGAACTCAGCTCTCGAATTAACAATTCCGAGCTGTTATCCATTACACCCACCTGCACATCCAACCTTACAGCACCTGGTAATCCCAAGTGGTCATTCATCTAGGTACTGATCAGGTTCAGTATTGCTTAACTTCTGTGATTATATGTTAACTGGTGTTTCAACATGATGTAGCCATAAATCAAAACCAGATGGAGTTGTAGTAAGCAATGGGTTAATTTAGTTGCTGTTTAAGGTTGTATAGGGTCAGAACTCAAAATGAAAAGAAAATTATAAGGGAAAAAAATTAATATGGAGAAAGTTTGTGAAGATGAAGGATGCTATTAATTTTTTGTTAGCATCTCTTTCATTTTGCTTTTTATTGTAAAAGATCAATATCTGCATCTGTTAGTAAACAAGTAGTAATATTATCTTGAAATGCAATTAGATAGATTGTCAACTACTATAAATTTTTGACTAGTATAACTTTGATCTTAGTTTTAGTTGCACTTCATTACTATTTTAACCAACTGTCTGCAGCTATTTAAAAACAACTTGTAATATCTTTAGTTTCATTAGACCAAGGATTGTCAACCATTACTAATTTTTGATGAGTTTCCATTTTCATTTTAGTTGCTTTTTATTGCAGCTATTCAAACCAACTGTTATTAAACAAGTAGTTATAGTATTTATTAGTATTTCTTTCATTTTCATTTTAGTTACTTTTCAACACCACTATTCAGGCCAACCATTGTAATAAGTTTCTTGAAATTTATTAATTTTTAATTATCATTTTTCTCATTTTAATTTTAATTACTTTTCATTGCAACTACTCAGACCATCTGGTTTTAGAACATCAGCAGCAACTTCTTGCAGACAACTGGGTATTGTAAGCGACCTTCTCCAATCCGAAATATGCTTCGGCTTTAAATAGCTCACAAAGGTTTGATAAGCTGTAAAAAACAAATAAATCAAAAAATTCAGCTATCAGCAAGGATTTAAAATAAAGGATAAGCACTTAGTGAGATTAGGTGGATGTGTAGGCGGTGTGACAGGATAGTGACTCAGAATGAGAAATTGAATTCCAGTTAGGTTTGTTACATTCACTTACACACAAATGCCCTTAGAAAGATAGGAATCCATCTTCTCTCCCAGCTATGGGTTAAATAGTAGTACTTATATCTGGAAAAAAAATCATTGTTATTGTCAAAAATTCGTTAATGCAATATTGGTTTTCAAAAAAAAAAAATATTCTTACAATACAAATTATGTTTTGGTTTTAAATAACCCAGAAAAGTTAATAAACTGTTGTTGCAGACACTGCTGCTGGCTCTTCTAAAAACTGTGGAAACCAAAGTTTTCACATGTAAATGCCTGGTTGCCATTATTTTCAGAGATAAAAGGATTTTTTTTTAATTGGTATCACCCCAAGCAAGGCAGTACAGCCACTAGCATGCAAGATGGCAGGAATTCATTTCAACACTAAGATATTTTCTAGTATTTTTATACAAACTAATAAAGGACTAACAAAAAGAGAGAAAATACATTAGTGTGTACACAGCTGAAATGGAAAAAAAAAACTTTATGCTTACCTGTTATGTGTGTGTAAATGTTCAGTCGTAAGTCACTTTGGAGTGAAATATATTATTCCCAGTGGGGACAAGACCTGTGTTGGTGTTTCTATCTACTAGCTACTTGGTTAAAAAGAGGAAGGAGAAAAATAGTGTTTCTTTGTTTATAGTCCTTAATTTGTAGCACTCTGCATTATTCACAATATTATTGTCATTCCATATAGTGGCCCTTCAACTGTAGTTTCTTTTATTTCAGTCTGTTGCTATAGCGGGATATGACAGCACAACTGTGAAATTCAAACAAACTATTGTTTGGAGTTGCTTATAGTCTCAGGAAAACAAATTTACCTTTTTGGTAGACCAAGTGGGATAATCTGCACACTATATAAAAAAAAAAAAAATAACATTCAGTCTAGTGAGATTTGAAGTCTCACCCACTTTGCTTCAAGAAACCTAGTTATACCTGTTGAGCTACAAAAGCCTATGTTTGGTAGAAGATCAAATCTAACTATACAAAGTTACTTTTTATTTTTATTTGTTCAGTACCATATAAAATAAATCAAGATAAAGTCAATTTGATGAATGGTTATTTGAACATAATTGGAACAAAAATATATTAAAGAAAAGTTGATATTTGAGAGTAGTTTATATCTCAACTTTATTGACTACAAATGTCATTTGTTACTCACTTCAGTTAAGTCTAGACACACATATCAACTATTGTTTTTATATATATATATATATATATATATATATATATATATATATATAAAATTTGTCACTTCATCATCCCTACTCTAAAATTTTGTAGGCCGAACTTCCAGTAATCACTCCATCCACTCGTCAGGGGATATCAGCAATTGATTGTTTATTTTCTCGTTTTTCTTGTATATGCACTTTTCATTGGTGCAAGGTTGATTCCCCCGCCTCTCATAGTGTGTGCATGTGCACATACATACACCTGACTGCATGTATGTGTAGTATGTCATGGTTATTTCTCCTTTCGATCATTTTCATGTGTCTTTATACTCTCTCCTTATTGGTTATGGGTGAAATATTCTCATCAGAATCCATCTTACACATTTCTAATTCTACCATTCATCTGTGCATAGAATATTGCTCTTGTATCTGGTCCAATGCTCCCGCTATATATGTTGAAATTCTTGACAAAATCCAAAGAAGGGTCTGTAATGTTATTGCTCCTGATCTAGAATTTCAACTTCAGTTACTTTCTCACTGTAGTGACATGACTTCCCTCTGTCTTTTCTATAAATATTTTCATGGCAATTGTTCTAATTAGCTCTCCATCCTCAGTACCTTGACTGCATGAATTTAAGTGTACTACTTGATTGGCTATTATGTCTCATTGTATTACTGTTGAAATAACTTAATATAATCATAAGTTCTATTCTAATATTTCCTTTTCTCACACTTCTCACCTGTGGAACTCGCTTCTTTTTTTTTTTTATTCCCTGCCAACTAAAATCTTCAAAAATTTAAATGCAATATCATTCACCATCTTCTGTCTTCCTGAAATCTGTTCTTTTATTGTCGTTTCCCCTCACTAATGTCTTCTCTTCCATTGTATCTTAGTGGCATGATCAACTTGCTTGATGTGAAACGATTAAAAAAAACAAAAACAAAAAAACAATGTGGTTTTAGTCAATTTAGTATTCGGTTGTTAATGAGTTTAGAATTTCAGTGTCAGTTGAAAAGATTTATCTGTGTGATAAGAAAGAATGAAAATGATTATAAGGAATAATGACAATTTTTTTGTCTCCAGATTTGTAAACATTTTCCTGTTTAATTAACTTGTTTATTTATTGTGCACATTATAAAATATTTGAGAATTATTGGTATAAAGAGACACTACTTATTGCTTTTTATATTTAGCATTTATTAATCTTTGTGTGGCATCTGTCGGTCTCAAGAAACCTTATATTTGCACCCAAAGAGTTATGCCTCAGCTGCTGATGGTTGTGAAGCATCTGTTATAGTGTCATACCATATACCTATTCTATTGTAATGGACTCTCCCACAGATAATAAGTAGTAGTAGCAGTTGCCAGTTCGACTCAGTGGTGCTGAGTGAGTCAGACGATATCGGACATTGAAGTACCAACAATCACAACTAGATTTGCTGCGTCATTAACTCTTATTTCCAAGTTCCTAACGTTTTGTACGTCGAACCTAATTTAGGACGACTTATTGAAATACAAGCCTCCACTGTGAAAACTACTCCACAACATATAGCTGTACAGAGCCACATGGCCCACACAGTGACAGTCTCTATTGCAATGAATGCATGTGAAGATGCTCTCCTCTGATGTCACCTTGTTTTCTTTCCATCAAGCATGCTTCTCCCTCCCAGCAGCAGGCCTGTGTTTCGCCTCACTTTGATCCAGCCCATGGTGTAAATTGCATCTCCATTGTTATTATTCTATACAGCACAAGAATTGAACTCGCCTAATGGAAACTAATGCTTTGCTGTTGTTGGATTGGCCTGTCTCACCTGTTCTTTGTAATGGGTTCTGCCATGGAGCTCAATATAAGCTCATGGTATTTCTTCAAAGGGGTGAATATTCATTTGCTTGGTGAATCTCTGACAGACTACTTCAACAGCCAGCATGAGTGATCATTGGCAATATCTTCCCAATTCTTGATGTCCTTGTCCATTGCCCTTATGTCCTTTTTGCAGATATTGAAGCTAAGATGAGATTTTTGCAGACATCATTGAAGCTAAGATGAGATTGTCCTTGACAGTGGCCAGTTCCCTGTACAGATAGACCTTCAGAATCCTCCCATCTGGTATACGGTGTACATGTCCAAATCAGCAGAGCTGACACTGTTGAAGAAGGGCATATAGGCTGGGTAACTAGGCACAGGTGAAAACTACAGCATTAGTGACCCAGTCAGACCAATTGAAGACCAGAATGCGTCTCAGTGAAGATAAAAGGTGGTGAGGTGTTGCTCCTGTCTGGAGTAGAGGTTCGAAGTTTTGCTGCTGTAGAGCAGCATGTTGAAGGCACATGCCCTTCAGACTTCAATTTTGGTGTTTGTAGTAAGCTTTCTGTTCTCCCAGACTCTCAAGGTCAGCCTGGTAAACGTGGTGACAGCTTGTTTCAGTTCATCTGTTGACCTTAGTGTTTAGAGAGAGGGTGTCTGAAATGGTGGAGCCGAGGTATGTGAATCTTAATCTTTAGAAGAGTGGACAGAAACCACAAAGCTACATTTTGATAATTTTATTCAGTGATCATTGTGCTCGTCATGGACATATCTTCATAATAGGAAAAAGGAGCCTTATTAATTTTTTCACAAGTATTTATTTAATCTTACTTTTGGTTACTTTTTATTGCTGCCACTCAGACTCTATATATGTTCATTGATAATCTTAAAGTATCAATAATAAAAGTTTTAATTTAAATTTCATTTTTTACAATTTAAGTCAACATATATTGAACTTGATATTGATTGATGTTAGTTTCATAAAGAATGAAGTAAAATATATTGACATGTCATTTCTTCATGTAGTCTGGTGGGAGGTGCTTGCTTCTTACTTTAAAAATTCAAAAATCCCTTTTACAGACTCTTGAAAGCCACAATTAATTCTTACATCCTCAACCAATGGCAAAAATCATGGAATACACACACAAACAACAAACTATATCAAATAAAACTCATTCTGATTGTACAACATCACATTACCAGACACTCAAGAAAAGATGATGTCACACTTACAAGAATCAAAATCGGACACACCCACATAACTCACTCTTTTCTCCTAAATAATGAAGACCCTCTAAAATGCCCAAACTGCCAAGAAGTACTCACTGTCAAACATTTTGTAATTAACTGTAAAAACCTGGCACCTATATGAAAATACTTTTACAATGTACCCAACCTTAGGGCCCTCTTTGAGAGTGTTGAACCTAAAACCATTCTAGAATTCTTAAAAGTCACAAAACTCTACCCCAAAATATAAAAAGGAAACCGAATAAACACCTGGTTACGAAATGCAGCTAAAACCATATTACATCCCCACCCTTATATAATAACACCTTATAAAAGAATTTGTCTGCAAAATAAACACAAAATGAAAAAAAATCTTAAAAATACTCGATTCAGTACAAAATGACCTATAAAATCAATATTTAGAATTGTGACTTTTACCTAGGCTTGAACTCTCACCAGCAGTAAAAACCCAACTACCTCAACCACAAGATAAATTCTATTTTTTTGTATAGAGAATAACGTTTTTACTTTATTCTATGTCTGTTTTTTTTTTTTTTTTTTTTTTTTGTGTGTATTCAGATAGCGACAGTTTGGATCTACCCCCTGAAGGTGTGGCGCATAATCTGGAGCAGATGCGTTTGCTGCATAAGTTCAAGGAACTGCGTCGACATCAAATTCAGCAACAAGAGATCCTCATGCAGCAGCAAGAGCAGCAGCTGGCATTGCTGCGACAGGAAATGAAACAACGTCAGAGGCAGGTAACCACTCTGCAGCCTCATTTAGGTTAGTGGAAAAAATTTACCTGTTTGATTTCTTTGCATGGCCATTTTATAGTTTACTCATCTTCACAATCATTCAGTTTTGACTTGTATTTCTTTCATCATTTGTTTTTGCTTTTTATAGTAAGGGTTTTAAATTGTATGACTTAGATAATTTTTGTCGTTTTTTTTTTTTTTTTAATCTTGTTCCTCCTTTTATTGCTACACTTAAGTCAACAAGTAGATTATGGACACAGTTGGTCATCTTTTAGATGAATTTTTCTTTTCTTTTGAATTGCTGATGTTTATGGATCTGAAGATTGTCAAAGCAAGAAATCTTTTGAGTTTTTGATTATTAGTTATAATACCTATATTGCTCCAGTGAATACCTGATACCTCATGCTACCCTCTAACTTTATAAGAGCCAGATCAGGCTGAAAATGGAGAACTGTTGCCATATTTGGGAGGGAGCTGCCAAGTCCTCACTTTCCTGTCTTGATAGAGTTCAAAAAGTGTCTCTGAGTCCTTGCAGGAGAAGAATTATTTTCCACCCTCCAACCTCTTTCTCACAGGTGGGAAGTGGCGAGTTTCTCACTGCTCTATCGCTTCTACCATGGGAAGTGCTTGGATGAACTGCATCTTCTGCTTCCACCAGCTCAGACGTACATAGTAGCAAACCACACACCTTCTCTCCATCAGTGAGAAGTAAATTTCACTCAAATACATTCTTCCCACGGACCACTGCCCTATGGAACAGACTCCCAAGAGGATATTTCCTTGATCATTACAATCTTAACCTGTTCACATCTAGAATCAACTGTTATCTTCTCCCTCCTATCTATATAAACTACTCCTTATTGTAACCCTCTACACCAACAAGGGTCGGCAACTCATTTGACCCCGCAGGCCAGATCGTGTTATAATTACGGGTCGCGAGCCAGACGAAGGCCATTAATGAAAAATTAAGGAAAATTACATATGCAGACCCCTGTCAACCTAAATATTTAAAACCATAATGAAAATAAACATTAAGAAATCAGAAAAACAAAAAGAAAATCTAAAATTAAAAAACACCTAACAAAAATTACTTTTCCTCAAGGAACGTCAAAATACTTCAAAGTGAAAAAAATCAACCGAAGTGAAATGGATGAAATTATGATGTGTAGGTTTGAAACATTGAAAATTGTTCCACAAATGAACCACACACACATACATCAGACAAAAACGAAGTCCATATATCTATACATACGAGTACAAATAGTTGCAAACATATACACTTACGTACACATGCGGTATCATCCGCACATTCATGAGGCATGTATGTATAATGCGTGTATGTTTAACTGTTTTTAGATTTCTGCTACCTTGCATGTCAGTCCCTCCCTGGCCTCTTTCACTTTATCGTTCCTTTCACTTCTGTTATTTTTCAATGTAGCCAAGGGTCATAACAAATATGTATCCATTATTTGACATTAAACGTATGCAACGCAACTTGGTAAAATAAGTCTCATGAAAGATAACTGGCAGATAGTCTAATATTTTTAGTGCACTGAGATGTGTAGACATTCTATGGAAAATGACATATAACAAATTTCATTTGAAGGTCGACTATGTAGTTAAATTGAGAGGTGTTGACAGATCTGCATATTCACATTTAATCACAAGTGTTAAATATACATAAAAATAATTTATATTAACAAATGAATCTAGTAGTCAAAAAATATTATTTATTCAATTGAAAACATTGTTGGAATCATTTGTTTATAAATACATAGCATCGGCGTTAAGCTATCACCAACAGCCAAAGAATTAATGGCAAACTTGGTGATTTTTATTAATTGAGAGTGTCTCAATATTTGGTTTCAAACTTGTTGATGCTAAGAGCATGATATCATCAAGATGGTTATCAGTCAATCTTGTTCTCAAATTGTTCTTAGTTTGCTTCAATTTTGAAAAAAGTTGTTCACATTGATAGGTACTTCCCAACAAAGATGCCATCTTTTTTGCATGGGTCACTAATTTGGAATACTTTCCACTTGGAAAAATATATTTTGCGTAATAGATCGTTACACTGCATTTCTATCAAAGCCCATTGAAAGATTCCAGCAACTTACATAGGGTAGGTGGCAGGGGTAAGCAATGGGGGGGTTCGCTGTTGGAGGAATGAAATAGAAAGCCGACTGAGACAACATTGTCCCTTTGAAGCTGTCGCCGGTCGGTCGGTTGGTCAGTCGGTCAAATCGGCTCTCAGTTTTTGTTTTATGTTTATTTTTTTATTTTATACGCTGAAATGGAGGTGATTGGGTTTTGATTGTGTTTTTGCAGTCATAGTATTCAAATTCGGTTGGTTGGATCAGAGGAAGATAACAGCAGACCTTTTGTCGAATTTGAAAGCCTCGTCTCTCATGTTAAAAATAGTCATTGGTAATCAGGCTCGTGGGCCGGTCAAAATTCCTTCGCAGAACAGATCCGGCCCTTGCTCTACACCAAGCTTTTTTCCCTGGTGCCCTGACTACGTGAATTTATGCATGCTATTAGATTGCCATCTAGGTCCTGCCATTTACTGTTGAAAGAGTCAAATATAACTTCTACTCCAACAGTTTCTTTTCTTGAACATTCCAGCAGTTAAACTGCTTCCATTTCTTGCTTCCCTGATAACTACAATCTTCAAAAATTTAAATGCAACATCAATTACTATCTTCTATCTTCTTGAATCCTGTTCATCTTTTATCCTTTCCTCAGTCCCCAACGTCGATCTTTTATCCTTTCCTCAGTCCCCAACGTCGATCTTTTATCCTTTCCTCAGTCCCCAACGTCGATCTTTTATCCTTTCCTCAGTCCCCAACGTCGATCTTTTATCCTTTCCTCAGTCCCCAACGTCGATCTTTTATCCTTTCCTCAGTCCCCCCAGTTCATCTTTTATCCTTTCCTCAGTGCCCCCCGTATATCTTTTATCCTTTCCTCAGTGCCTCCCATGCATCTTTTATTCTTTTCTCAATGCCCTCCCCATACATCTTTTATCCTTTTCTCAGTGTCCCCATACATCTTTTATCCTTTCCTCAGTCCCACCATCTATCCATCTTTTATTCTTTCCTCAATGCCCCCTCCATCCTTCATTTCTACTTACTGCAGTCCCCCCGTTTGTCTTTTATCCTTTCCTCAGTCCCCCTCGTCTATTGTTTTATCCTTTCCTCAGTCCCCTCAAATCTATTGTTTTATCCTTTCCTCAGTCCCTCTTTCTATTTTTTTATCCTTTCCTCAGCCCCCCCTCCGTCCATCTTTTATCCTTTTCCTCAGCCCCCCCCTCCGTCCATCTTTTATCCTTTCCTCAGTCCCCCCGTCCATCTTTTATCCTTTCCTCAGTAATACCCGTTCATTTTTTATCCTTTCCTCAGTACACCCCACCCATCCATCTTTTATTCTTTCCTCGGTGTTCCCTCCGTTCTTTATTTCTCCTTCCCGCAGTCCACCCTGTTCATCTTTTATCCTTTCGTCAGTCCACCTCCATTCATTTTTTATCCATTCCTCAGTCCCCTGTGTCCATCTTTTATCCAAAAGATTTGCATCATGTTTTCAATGTGGCCTGGATAGATACTCCAGAAGAGAAGATAGTATTACACATTGCATAAGTTAGCCAGAAATGGCAGAATCTGGTCAGAATTTTGATGATTTGAAATTTGTAGGGGTGTTTTGATCTCTGTGGATGGATATGTAATCCTGACAGTAATTCATTGTCTAACTTCTAAAGACCAAAAAAAAAAAAACACATAGAAACAGTCATTATGGTTGCAGCAATAGATGAGTGAGGATACCTTCCACTCCCAGATTCCTTAGCTTGTTGTGTCTTCAGCAGAATGAGGCAAGCCACTCAATGGAGATGATAGATAGCCGGCCAACCTATCTCCGTCTTTGTCTTAAATATTTTAATATAAGAAATAGTGTTGGATTAGAAATAAGATCTGTTAATTCCTTAGAAATAATTTTGTTTCAGATACGAAAATAAAATTAGTGCCTTTAGACTTTCAAGCAGATTATGTGCATTCTTTAAATGGGTAACTGAACTTTGCCAGGCTGTGATGCTCTCTGGCTGAGTGGTCTAAAGTACATCTGATCGGACAGTGGGATGCAGGTTTGGACTCTTCTAGAAGGCATGTTTTCTTTATTAAGACTTGTTTGTTTCAATCCTTATAGGAGTGACTGCAAAACACTTACCCCTCCCCAATTTATAGGCAGAAATGTGTGTGTGTGTTCCATTTCATATATACCAGGTGTAATAGCAAAATTGTCCAAATCATATAAAAGTAAAATTGTCCATTTATTAGAATAAATGTATCTTAGAAATGATTAAAGATATCTTACTGGAATTCTACAAGTTTTTTATAACTCTATTGAACTCTACTTTGAGCAATAAGAATGTATAACCACTCTCCAAGCTTAACAGAAGAATCATGATGAAATTGATCATAAACAAAAATGCCATGTTCACCATTAATTAATCATAGCAAAGGATTAAGTTCATATATATATATATATATATATATATATATATATATATTAAGACATTTTTTTTTTATTTTTATATGTTCTTTTTATAGATACAAATATTTAAGTAAATGCTCTGTTTATAATAAAAAAAAAATGTCTTAAAACAATTGTCGGACTTTGTCCATTTCATAATGTGTGACCTCATTTGTTTACATTTGGATACACATTGAGCAGGTATGAATGTACAAGAGAAAATCATGGAGAATTGTAGTTTAAAAACAGTAAAATCAACCTTGCTAACCGAAACGCTCCTCTGTGGCTCAATTGGTAAAGGCACGTCAGGATATATGATGGTTCTGTATAGGATACAGGTTTGATTCCTGTCGGAGGACACATATTTTCTATGAAAATTTCTTGGACATTCAGGCCAGTAAATGTCGTTAATACTGTTTATTATAAACAGAGCGTTTACTTAAATATTTGTATCTATAAAAATAACGTATAAACATTAAAAAAAATGTCTTAAAATAATTGTCAGACTTTGTCCATTTCATAATGTGTAATATATATCATTTTCCAACTTATTCAAAATGATCTTTGTTCTATCTAGCCTTCTAACTTTCTGTCCTGGAGTAACAAGATGCCTCACACGTTTCACATATGATTTCATTTTCAAGTATTTTTTCACTGCTTTTTGGACTGTCATTGCTGAAACTTCTCTTTCACATGCCAAACGTCTTATGAACTGAATTGCATCTTTTCTAATTGATCTCTTTAGCTCTAAGTTGAAATGATGATCCCTTTTCCTGTTGTGACCTGATCCAGTTTTCTTTTGTACTGTTCCCTCTTTTTTAAACTTATTCACCATTCTCGTGATTGTTCTCGAAGGGACTTTGAAGATGGAAGCCACTGTATGAATGTTGGTACCATTAATAAAGATGGGAATGATTTTTTCCTCTCACCATTGCTCAGTTAGGAAGACATAGTGGAGCTGACATAAAACAATTTTAACCTGTTCTTTTTCTAGCTTAATAACTCAGAGTTTTTCAGTGATTCCTATGACAAATGATGTCAAGATGGCTAATCATCTTATATGAAAACCTGGAAAAAAGAAATTCAATTAGTTTAGTGGTTTTTTTAGATATTAAACCTTTTTCGGGATGGACAATTATGCTGTTATACCCAGTATATATGTGTATGTTTCATTGAATGACTGGGAAGGTGCTTCTTTTATGTTTTTTACCATGTTTTTCTTGTGTGTGAGCAAGTGATTTATTTCTCAGAAATAGTGTATGTAGACATTGTTCCAATGTTTGTTCATTCCAAGCACTTTTGCATAATCTGTGTCAAAAAAGGAAATCCCTTGTTCAGGCAAAAGAAAAACAATAAAAAACCTAAGCAGAAGCACTTTGACAATAATTTTCAATGAAATATCTGTATTGCTGGTTGTGCTAGCATTGTGGCATAGCCCCCTTGTTCTGGGGAGTTCTTGTTTGACGGAGTCCATTCCATAATGTTGTATCTCTTTTGGCCGTTAATTGCCAGTTGGTTTGTTCGGAGTTAAATGAGAACTTCAATAAAAAAGGATTTTAAACTTATCTATTTTATTAAACATGTCAACGTGTACATTTTTAACTAGCCAGTGGGGTTGCTCTATCACCCGCTCCCTCACTTGGGAGCAAGTTCCCTGAGACACAAAATAACCACGTCTACTGTGTATGACATGCAAAACTTAACTCCCAGAAGACACTTTCTACCTCTAACATTCCCACGCTAGCTTTAATCAATCAAAAACAACTTCCTCTGTTTTCCTGCATCTGATCTCAAAGGTCAAAATGAGGAACTCAGAGGAAAATAGAATTCTTTAAAAAGTAATAAACTTCTAGACTATTATTTAATATTCCTTACCCAATCATAAAAAAAAATTCATTTATGAATTTTATTTCAAGTACATTATATTTAACAGCAAGAAGTCCCAAGTCAGCTTGACCAAGATTATGAATATAGTGGTCTTGTTCAGCTACTGATCATGACAGATTATGTGCTCTCTCCCAGAAATTGTAACTAAGTTCCACTCAGTTGCTGTAAAATTACAAGTTGCCTCTGTTGGTGTTGAAAAAAATACAAATGTGCCTGAGCACTTCTCTGCAACAGAGAATAGCTTGTCATCCTAATATGCATGTGTGTGTGTATATATACAAGGTGTGTTCAAAAATTATCTAACTTTATTTTTACATGGCCAAACTAATGTTGTGTGGGCAAAATCCTTTGGGTGGGAAGTGATGCCATGCTTCATGTGTATGTGTGAAAATTTTTGTACCAGTAGGCAGCATCAATTCCTAGTTGTTATACCTAGAGTACATATGTGTAGTGTGTGCTTGTCGAATTTTCGTTTTCATGCAAGATGACCAAACGCATTGAGCATAGACATTGCATCAAGTTTTGCTGAAAGCTTTGTGATACTCAAATTCAAACAATCCAGAGGATTCAGCAGATGGGGATGATGCCATGGGAAAAACTCGGATCAAGGTATGGTACAGTCGGTTCAGACATAGCCACACTTCAGTGGAGAGTGAGGTAAACTCAGACAGGCTATCCACAATCTGAAACGAGGAGGTTATTGAGAAGGTTCAGCAAATAGTCATGGAAACCATCATGTAACAAACCAGTAAATTGGTCAAAAGTGGTAATAAGCACAGGATCAGTGCATTCCATTTTAACAGGATTTGTGCATGTGGAGAATGTTGGTGAAATTCGACCCCAAGGTACTTGCAGAGCAGCCAAATCACCTCTACATGGGAATTGCTATAGTCATACTGGACTGTGCAAAACACAATCCACACCATGTGACTTCTGGCTCTTTCCCAATCTGAAAATCACACTGAAAGGGAACCAATTTGAGTTGCAAGAGGAAAGTATGAGAAAAGTGATGGCAGAGCTCCATATCATTCCAGAGAAGGTGTTCCTGAAGTATTACCAATAGTAGCAGAACCACTGGGAGGAGTGTGTAGACTCGCAAGGGGAGTATTTTGAATGTGATTAAATAAAATTTGTGAAATGTACAAAATAGTTTGTTTTTTTATGCCCAAAAGTAAGATACTTTTGTAATGCACTTTGTGTGTGTGTGTATATATATATATATATATATAGCATTGCAACTAAGACCAAGGACCAGGTTTGTTTTCAGGGTCCAGTTTCTTCCATTCAAACACTTGTGACTCAAAAAACAACTCTTTGGCCAGATCATCACCTATGAAATAAAACCATGAGACTATTGTAACAGCAGGCTAATTTTATTCTTGTCATAATCTTCTGCTTAGATGAGTGAGGTCAACAGTACAATGGTTGTGTCTTCCTTTTTGTGTCACAATGGGACGGTCTTGCATAACTCTTTGGACCTTTCCCAGGATCTATCTCTCTCTCTCTGTATCATAGTGACCATTGTCTTATAGAGAATATTGTTCTTTGTCTTGTCATTTTGTATAAAAAAATAATTTATCAATATCTTGTTTCATTCAGTGACCTTCTTTGTCAGGATTGTTTGCCACTGTCCTACACTTAGCTGATAGTCATCAGGACAAATAAATGTCTGAAACAATTTTTGTGACACCTCAGATAATAACTGAATGAGGAAGTGTGCATTCCTTAAAAGGGCATTTCAAACCTTGCTGAGCTGTGACACTCTGCAGCCAAGCAATTTGAGGAATACTGACTCAAATGGTGGGTTCTCTTACAAAGGAGGACGCAGGTTCAAACCCTGTCAGAGAGTACATTTACTTTATTAAGTTTTCTCTAGTGCATAAACCAATAGACATTTAAAATAAAAATAAATAACATGGGATCTATTTCAAACATAGGTATCCATTACAAATAACGTAGTAATATATTAAAAAAATTAATCAAAAATCTTTTGTTTTATCTTGTATATAATGTTAAATGAAAACTAATATGAAAATTATCATTTAAGCATAATAAAATATTTCATATGGCAAATCAGATTTGTCCATCCTGTGGCAAATAATCTGATCTTTGATGGCTTTCTGGACTGTCACTGTCATATTGCAAACAGGAAAAAATGGTAACCAAAAAAAAAAAAAAAAACAGTTGGTGGAAAAGGAAAATAACCAACTTGAAAAATATATTAAAAATATATAACCTTGCAACCTTGATAGTTACTAAGTCTAGCTTTGTAAAGCAAAAGGCTACAAGTGTGGTGCACCAAGTGAAGGATAAGCTGTTTAATCACTGCTCAATGTCATTAAGGAAATTAATTGCTTAAAAACAATTCAATTTCAACATATAATTCTCATGATTATGTGAGATACAAAGCTATGTTGTCTTTATGTCGAGTGTCAAAATAACATATTTTGTTGCCTTTTCATGAGAAGCCCCAAGATAGGTTGTCTTTTCATGAGAAGCCCTAAGATATCTTGCCTTCCTTTACATAATATATCAAATGTCATCTTTGTAAGCTTTTGTACTCTTCAATTATTTGGCAGTAGAATTTTATTTGATGCCTTTTTTTCTACAGATGTTTGGAAAGAGAAACAATATGAAAAGGCTGGCATGAAAACTCCACCAATCAAAAGATCTCATAGATCAGAAGAAATGTCATCGATCTCAGCTCAGCAGCAGGTAAATAAATGACTTTTCACTTTCTTTTACAGGAATTGGACAAATAGCTTTTGAATTCTATGCATCGATCATTGGTGATGGTGATAATTGGTGATAGTAATTATTGGTGACAATTAATTTGTCTCAACCAAACCTCCAAGTTATTTTTTGTATACAAGAAAATTTATTTGAAAATGTCTTTGCAGGGGGGATGGATTATTTGAAAGGAGATTTAATGCCTCATACATAATGGTTAGACATTAGTGGCAATAGTCTTCATCTAGCTAATGTCTTACCATTATGTGGGAGGTATTACTACCACAGACTGTATTTGTCATTCACCTGTTAATGTTTCATGGCACATTGGTTGAAAATTGCTGGTCTAAATCCACCTTTAAAAAAAAAAAAAATAGAGTAGAGACTAACACCTACATATCTATTTCTTTTTCACAGATTCCTGAAGATATGCAGAAAACTATTTATTACCAACTTGAAGAAGATAATGAGCTATCGAGTATGGAAGATGATGACCCTGAAGAACCACCGCACTTGTCTGCTTATCATGGCCTTGATGGTATCTGTCCCTTGGGTGACGGTGCATCTGAATCAGAAACAGAATCTAATTATGTTGACAATAAAGAGATAAACCGTTTCAGTGGTCAAGCAGCATTGTCTCCAAGACAAAATGTTCAGCCAAAGGAATCTGCTGCCAAAGTTAAGCTTTCCCAGTCTAAGAAAAATGCTTCTTCCGATGTAGTGTCTACAGAGGTACAGCAGATAACAGGACCATCAGAAAATATTCACTTATCACAGGTAAAACAGAACTGTGAAAATTATTTGAATATAAATAGATGAGCAGATGTTAAGATAGGATTTCATATCTCAGAACATAGGCGATAGTAGCCCTCCACAATATCCTGTCTCTTGTAGCTCTTAATAAATTTTGTCTTTCTGTTATTTTTCCTAAACCCTGTTCCACATCCGTTTACTCAAGGTCACTAAGTATGTTATACATTGTTTTTCTCCTGTTTCTCTTGCCTTCAATCTATCTTGTGAGTATCAGATTTTCCAAGCCCTCTTTCCTTATTATGTGCCTTGAAACCTCAACTGTCTCTTCCTGTTGTTAAGTATAAGTTTTCATTTTTTGTTGTTGTTGTTGTTGTTGTTAACCAGATTTTACCATTTAACCTAAAATAAAAATGTCTCCATGCTTTGTGATTGACAAAATTGCATATTTCCCAATAGCATCAGTGATTAGGTTTTAAGCCCAGATAAAAATCTGAGTTGTACAAGACAGACTCTCTTGACTTAAACATCTTTTTTTATTTGCCTTTATGCTGTACAAAACAACATATAGTAAATATAAAAATAATAAAACATTTAACAAAATTAAAAAAAAATAAGGAATAACAAAATCAAACCCATCTCTAAACACCCATTTTTTTTTATCCATATTGACAGATATATTGAAAATATTAGTCTTATAAATATTATATGATGATAAATTATTTTGGAGATAATAAAATCAAACAAATACAACAATTAAATTATCTGTTAGGTTTTTTAACAGAGGACAAAAAGTGCGACACCGAAATCTGAAGGTGCATTGGGATAGCGAAAGATGTCTTCCAAAAGCTAAGCAAAGCATTAAGAAACAAAACTTTTGTTAGAAACAAAGAAAAGAGTATTTAACTGATACAGAATATCAGTCTTCCTATATGACAGTGAATGCTGGACAATCTCCTTCCAGATGCAGAAAAGACTTGAAGCAACAGAAATGTGTTTCTACAGAAGCATGCTGAGAATACCATTGACTGACCATGTGAGCAACAACAAAATTTTAGAGAAAATGAAAACAAAGGACACTTATACATAATGCATAACCTACCTAGTGAGTTTGAGGTTTGAGTAAATGAATGATGGAGCAATGTTTAGGAGAGATAATAAAAAGACAAAATTTACTAAGAGCTACAAAGGACAGGAAATTGTGGAGAGCCATGAACGCCTACATCCTGTGGGATCATGGCACATAAAAAAACAATGTATATGTATTATAATATATATTGTTAAATAATAATAAATTCCTTAATATATAGTATTCACAAGTGACCATTGTATATCTATTATTATAATATATAATATAATTATTATAAATAACTGTTATATAACATAATATTTAATGTAATATTGTAGAATGTTATGAATAAATAATTAACTATTATTTGATAATCACAGCTGTTTGAGGACTCCTATAGTCTGTCTAAACTTAAATAAAGTCAATTCAGGTTTGCTATGGTAAAAATTTTCTATCCCAAGTAAAAATCACAAAAATGGCAAAAGTCATTTTGTCACAGCTTATTTTCTCTGAAAAAATGGATTTTCATACTTTTATAGGGTAAAATATTGAAAAATGACTGTTTTATCATCATCTGAACAAATATCAAGGAAACTTTTGATCTGAAAGCAAACAATATGTTCTTTCATTTAAAACAAAATTGACTGGTGTAAATGACTCAAAAATTTTTTCAGGGGGTAAAATGTGAAAAAAATAGTGAAAATTTTGCATTTTTTCTAGTTCTAACCCAAAAATTTCCCCAATAATGGGAAATTAACCATTCTTTTGGAAAATCAGAAAGCCTAAATCATAATCAAACTATTTCAGACATAAAATTGAGAGTTTGAAGGAAAACAACTAGGGGGTCAAAATGCGACAAAGTCTGTTGGTAATTTTCAATTATATAGCCGCTGAAGGTTTAAAAAATGCCCACGGAAATCTTTAGAAAAAGGTGAAAGATTTATCCTCATTTCTTGACCACCGTAAATCAGGAGTTATTTTAAAAAAAAAAAAAAAAATAGCAGCGATAAGGAAAATTAAACCAAACTGACTTTGACATGCCCGGGTCAAAGGCCAGTCAGCCAGCAATAAATGTTAGAATAAGCTGTCATTGTCAACTTGTAAATCCCACCACTGACAAGATAAGAGCAAAGAGTGGAAAAAAAAAAAAAAAGAGGAAATATTGGTAAAAAGTTCTTGATAGTTTTTTTTTTTTCTTTTTCTTTTGAATGGTTTGATGTGTTTTGTTTGTTTTTTTTTTTTTAAACACCTCGTGACTCGGGTGATGGAAACAACACTTAGCAGACGACATTGTTTTTTTTGACACGTCTTTCGTATTTCCCATCTTCGGGTCATATAGCAGTTCATTTTATTCAATGATGTTCACACCAACTTAAAGAGAAAGGATTGAAGTTTGAAAAAAATTGTTTTGAAGTGAAACAAGATATTTTTTCATAAAAAAACAAGTAATTTTTCTCAGAAAATTGGCTATAATTTTTTTAATGCTAACCCCGAGTGACATTTTTCACAGCCAAATCAAAAATTAATTACCAGTGAATAATTCCATGTGCAAACAATAGCCGTCTGGATCCTATAACATGTCCTGAAAACATCTAGAAGTGATTGATTGAAAACTTGTTCCACATAATTGTGTTTTCCACAGTCAGTTTCCATTATTTCATCTTGATGTTGTCATTTTCAGACAGCCAAGTCATCAAGGATTCAGGAAAACAGTTTGGTACAGGTTTGCTTTGAGAACTTTACATTCTATGAGGGGTTTAAAGTGTTACTGACGAATGGGATTTTTTTGCCGAATATTTCATTCAAGCGCCATCTTGGATTTTCCTATAGGACAAAAACAAGCATTTTAAACAGCTGTGTAATATATATGTATGTTATATAATAATAAACTATTTAATATAATGTGTATTACAGTAATAAATATATATTGTGACTTTGGAAAACACACAATAACTGAGACAATATATATATTAATATATAATTAATTTTATTTATTATTTGTATGTATTTTATAATAAATTATTTAATATATATTTAATATAATCTTAAATAATTATTATTCAAAAATAATATATATTTATTTTCACATATTGAATAATAAATAATTTATTAATATATCTTATAATAATAATTTATTTGATATTCAATATAATACATAAAAATAAATTAATATATATTTAATATAATGTTATATAATGATGAATTATTATTCCCATGTAAATATCAGATAATAGAATCAGATTTGTGGCCCATCTAATTTTTTTCTGTTTGAATATTTTCTTTAGCACGCTTTGTAAATAAAATGTTCTGATATTTGTTTTCATTTTACTACAAATTTATAATTGTCTCCCCTTATCCGCGGGGCATATGAAGTCACTGATCATCATTAACCATTAGACATTCACATCTATATCTATTTCTCTCTCTCTCTCTCTCTCTCTATCTATATATATATATATATATATATATATATATATATATATATACATACAATGTCATCCACATACAGGCCTGTTTCACTGTATCACAGCTCATCAGTGCAACTAGACATCCGATGATTGCTTCAAGCTGAGGTCAGAACCTGATGTAATGAATACGCATACACCTGGGTCCCTGCTCACAGTAACATGATTGGCTGGTGTCAGCCATAAATACAGACTGATGTGGAGGTACATGGAGGACACATTGTCTTCGCCTATTGCCTACCACGAGGACGAGTCTGAGTCCATTACGGTTACCTGCTAGATTGTCCTACCTGGTTACAGTAGTCAACAACCACTTTGCTACTTCGAACAAATATATCCCTTTCCAGGACATATTAGAACCCAACAGTTTATATATATATATATATATATATATATATATATATAATGCCAAGGTTTGAATAGAGTATGCCCAAAATTAGCCTTCTGGCATAAAAGTGCTCTATGCCATAAAAATGACAGTGCATTATAATATTAATTCATTAAGCAGGTAGGCAATGACTGGCCACGATAAGTTTCATGTGTTTACACACAATCTTCAGGTATCAGTAACTTGCAGTAATAAGATGATTACCTTATATACCACCGGATGATTACAATTTGACAAGCAAACCAAACTCACATGGTGGGGAGGGTAGATCATCCAGCCAAGCTCTAAAATGGAAAAAAAAAAAAAAAAATTAAAAAAAATTTAACCTGGAAAGGCTTGCTAGTACAGCAAAAAGCGCTCAATAACAAGAGATGTTATATATATATATATATATATATATATATATATATATATATACTCACACACACACCTGATACAGTCTCATAAAATGAGTTAATTACAAGAAAGAGAAATCTGTGAAAAACAAAGACAAATAGTCAACTTGCCTGTCATCCTTTAACAATGAATGTATGTCCATTAAGTTCCAAAAATACTGCCAAACTGACATTGTAGAGATTGTCCACTCAAGATCTGACACACGTGTCAATATCATTATCCTTATCTGAATTGGTCACTTCATCACTATTAATATCAGAAATGTCGATATTTTGCATTTCTAGTTTCTTTTTCCTTTTTTTCCTCAGATTCTAAAATAAACTGGGCTTGTAAATGAGCACTCAAAATCACTAGACTCCATTTCGTTTTGATGCTTGATTTCTCATTGTCAAAAAACACAAAAAGGAGTACAAAACTTGTATTTTCTTCACTAATTGAACAAAGAAGAGATGGCAGATATAACATGTCTCACTGTTTTGACTTCCTGTGTTAAATACAATGATGTCATCATATGGCAGAGGATACATCGGACTGGTTATGGTTGGTTGAACATTGAGGGACGATATTTACAGGGCCAGTTTGAGCATATTAAATGCTAAAGGGTTAAATAAAACTTAGGAATTGTTTGTTTTGGTTTGACAGTGGGGGTGTTACTATACTTTCACATCAGTGTGCAATATTTAGTATAGAGAAACATTTAGTATATACAAATAACCCACAATAGTCAAAGGATTATATAAATGATGTCTTTTTTTGTAAATGGTATGAATAGTGGTTTTTCTTGGTCAGGTGTAAAGTGTCTTTATATGTTGTCAAATATGTAATTTTGTGTAAATGTTTGATAAAAATTTTGCTTCTTTTTATTGCAGGGGGCAAGTTGTAACCCACTTGATGAACGACCAATATCTTCTCATCTGGGACGTAAGTAATTAAGATCTTTCTATTTTCCTTTTTTTTTTTTTTTATTTCTTCACTTTATTGATTTTATCATTGATATTTCATTGGTTAACTGTTATCACATGATATACTATTGGCACTATCAATTTCACATATTGAGAAGGAAATCTTCAAAGTTGTTATGAACATTTGAGGCTGCAATGAAAATGATATCTTATTCAAGCTTTATTTGCTTGCAATCATTTATTAACATTTACATGTCCTGTGTATGACGATAAACTACATCCATCAGCAATGCCTCTGACCAGCAAGTTTTGAGGAGCATGGAACCACTTCTTAATTGCTATTGTTACCAGGTTCACTCTGACCCATGGTGGTAGCACTTGTTAGTGTCCCAACTATGGTTAAATAGTTAACCCCTAAACGGGGGTTAAAACACTATGAATGTTTAAAAACATCAGCAATTCATTTTCTTACCGAAAAAAGTTACTAGCAATACTTTTTTTTTGAAAAAGAAATTACCACCAATACATTTTTGTAAGAGAAATTACTAATGCTCCAAGGAAAATTAAATTTTGGCATTAAATGACCTATAAGGAGTAGATATGCTGTGAAACAAACAAGCAAAAAAAATTTACATTTAGCGATTGAGAAAGACTAAAAGAAAGCAAGCCCTTTTATTTTTATCACATAATAAAACTCTAAACTCTGTCAAATAATTTGGAAAAAAAATTATTAAAATCATTGTGTTCTGATTCATTCAATGTAATTTCTTTATCTTTGTTGTTTTTATCACATTTTATATTATCCTTGGGTATCTGTCATATTTAGGAATGTTCACTCTAGTTTTTAGTGGGATCTGCACTTCCTCTCTCTTACCTGTCACATTTGGTATCTTACAGTAACACTTCGTTTAAGAATATCGAGACAATGAAAGTAAATGTAGAAAACAGATGTAGGTAATCATTGTTACTATGTTGTAGGGCTATGAGTGGGCTTCTTATTATAAGGAGATTATCTCACCCCCAGAACAACCTTAGGAAATAAAAGACTGTAGGTCAAAGAAGGGGTATCATTTTTACAAAGGAATTAAAACCCTATCAGGAAATGAAACAATCTTATTTTATGTAAATTTTAACAAAAAACCTTGTTTAAAATGCATTGAATGATGTGAGAGATTGTTGGATTTTGTGATTAGAATGCAGAAGTGAGTTTTGCAGGGGTGGGGAGTGTGGGACAAAGGGGAACAGTACAACACAATACAGATTGTCATTCAGAATTTAACTGCATTTTATGACAAAATTTACCAAAAGTTCCAAATCAAATTACTGGCTTAGAGACAAATCAACAAATGTCTTCTCTTTTTGTTATTTCTTTATTGTTTGGAAAAAGCTTCAAGGCCTGAATCTTGTATATGTCTCCTTTTGAAATATTTCATGTAAGTTATACAGCTTTCAATACAAGCCACATACTCATTTGGAGGGGAAGCCTTACTTTCTTTTCTTCTTTCTCAATTGATCACTGACATGTTAACAAAGGCAAGATGGTCTTGTGTCAGAATCAATTTAGATTCCTGCTTGGTATATTGAGCCTGAAAGTTTCATAACAACCTTGAATATTTCTTTTTGATATGTTAACATTTAGTAGGCTTGAGAAGTTTTAATAAATTCTTAAATTGTTTTAAATAGATTTACAAAATTTAACCAACAGTAATGCTAACTATTTACATTATTCGGACTATTTTCCTCATCCTTGTCGCCATATTTATTACAATGTTTCGGCCGTTGTATGCTCCGGCTTTCTTCTGGTGGTTGGAATGTTGAACTGAATCTTTTATTTCACTCACTGGGGTAGACTGTTCTAGTTCCACCTGCCATGTCTAATGGATGTCAGTTATCAGTTATCTCCTGTTAATTCCCCTCTCCAAGTTCTCCACCGCCTTAACCAGGTATTGAACTCACACTCTTTGGGTCCTGTCACTGGACCTAACTAATGCCTTTATCCACTGTGCCATGAGTCCCCAAGGATGTTGTAATAAATATGGCGACAAAGATGAGGACAAAAGTCTGAATAATGTAAATAGCATACAGGATAACTCATCTCAGAAATATAGACAAGTAATGCTAACTGTTCAGTCAATGAAAGTCAAATGTTTCCTTATAAGGAAATGGTTAATTTTAACATTACCATTTTCTTTTTTTGAATGAAGTACATGATGTGTGAAGAGTTATAGTCAAAAGTAGAAGGGAATTGTTTTCCCTTTGATTGTCTTCATTTTGTTTCTTTGGATATGGTGTTCTGTCAAGAAGTTCAATGAAGGTGCTGTTGTTGCAGAGTTGTAATCCCCACAACCAGGCATCTCTCACTACAGGATCATGACTTGTTCAAAGGTGAATTTTGACCTTGGCCATATGTATATGTATGGGTACTCGACATTAAACTATGTGTCATGTCTTACCACAGTAGTTGGCAGTGAGAAGGTTAAATTGATGATGCCAACAAGATGTCAAGGATTCAGTGAGTATTTTCAGTTCACAGCCACCATTTGTCACAATAGGCACAGCCATGTTGGATTTGGGGGCTTGAAGCAGATGAAGCCCATAGGAAATATTTGCAAATATTCTGAGAGCCAAAACCTAATTGTCCCATATCCAAATTCATAGGTCAGTCTGTGTTTAATCTTTTTACAATTTCATACAAAAGCAGATCTTTGAAAATACCTACAATGAATTTATCATTTTCAGGCCTCTAGAATTATTTGCTACCAGAATAGATTTGTTTCTTGTTGGAACAATGGTTCTTAATTTCATAGTTATTAAATTTTATTTGACCCTGAGATATATGGATTTAAATGTGCTTAAAAAATCACACAAATTGTTTTTGCATCAACAAAATGATTTATGTCTGTTATTGCATTTGTATCATCCTCTGAGTTCACAAATTGATTTTCTAATTTGTTTTGTATTTAGGAAAGAAGACGTTTGAGCAGTTAGTCGAGGAACAACTGAAAGAAGAAAAGGTTTTTATTTATTATTCTATAATCTATTTTCATCAAATATATATTCAAACTTGTTATATTTGTGAAAAAAAGAATGGTTTTGTTTCCATGAAACACAATGGAAAGAACTGAAAACTCAGTGTAATGATGTTTTTTACACATTTCCAATTATTTTTTAAAATGTGTTTTTTTTCATATTAAACAAAATTTTGTAGAGTGAGTGGCCATGGTTAAATGTAAAATGAATGACAGACCTGTCCAACAGAATTGACAATGTTTGCAATAAGCAATAATAAGAAAAAGAAAAAAGATCAGGGCAAGAAAATATTATAAAGCAAGAAGACAATATATGCAAGGCAAATTAACAGTAATAAGGCAAAAGAACAATAATATGGCACAAAAAAAGTTCACAAACTAAGAATTGGGGTTGACACACAAGAGCAAATTCGGATAAATGAATGTAGTGTTTTGACTTTAAGACAAGACAGGCTGGGACTGAGTCAAGATTTATTGCACATAAAAATACAATTTTGGCACAAGGCCGAAAATATGGGGGGGTCGAATGGACTGAGGCTGGTTGTCACTTACTATCTTATACGTTGCTAATCAGATTCATTGCTTGTTATAATTTGCACATTCACCACAAGAACTCATCCATCATCAATCAATCCTCCATATACCACAATACTGCATACTCCCAGGGAACCTACAAAAATCACCCAACGGCATAAAAATTTAATGAACATAAAATTCTATATATAAAAAATCTATAAATGATATGCTATGACGGGGGAGGGAATGAACCCAAAAAAACAAACTAAAATATCAAAACAAATGCACAAAATAAAGATAACTGATATTAGTTGGACCCGTCAAACCCTCAAAAGAAGTAAGCGAGACCGTTGTATTCTGTCTTTAGACAAAATCAAGAGGCTCTCTCGCTATGGGAGAGGGAAGGATAAAATAAATACAGCCATAAAGAAAGAAAAATTCTGACCCAGTTGAGATGAAAAAAGGAGCCAGAAAACAAACTGGGGAGGTTGGGAATCTTGACTTGTATCATAACCAAAGAAAGAACCGGGGACAACACATACTCACATTAACTAGGTACACAATTAGGATTATACTAACCAGGGTAGGGCTCCACAGGAAAACACCCTGATGTGACAGGTAGACTTAAAAAAGAAAATCAAGATTAGCACCATTAGTGTAAATCAGGCTTAAAACATAAAAACAAAACAAAATAAATGTCAAACAAATTACAAAAAGAAATACACAAAAGAAACTTAAAAGTTTGGCTAACAAAAAAGAAGACAAAACAAAAAACAAACATGCAAAGGTATTAAAACAAAAAGGAAAAATCAAAGCAATAAACTGAATATCAAAAGTCCAAAACGTTTCACAAATAACAGAAAGAAAAGCAAAAAATAAAATGATTAACTTAATGTCAATTGACTGTTCTTCAAAAATCCTCGTCAGGCAAAACTTTGCTGGACTAGAAAAAACTAACACAAAAATCACCTACTCGACAAAAATGAGTCCCAGACTGGGACTGAGTCATATGAAACCAAGAACTTACTGTTTTATTGGCTAGAAAGAAATCACAGCATGCATTTGTGTTCTTTTGCCTATAAATTGGGGAGGGGAAAATATTTTGCAATCATTCCTACTAAGACTGGAACCAACACACTTTGATATATGTTCCCTTAAGGTGAAAGTCATCTTATTTAATGTTGTCTGCTTTGCTTTTGTTACAACAGCCTCCAGAATTTGGAATCTTACTTTGCATTGTGTCTTGTGTAAAATTTTGGTGCTATCTACTAAAATTTGTCTAATGTTAATATCATTTTGTTTATTTGCCATAAGTTTGTCTATATGTTTGAATTTTTTTACACCTGATATGACACTATCTCTGTCTCATAATAGTTGTTACATTTAGTGTATGAAATATATATTCAACTGTACCAATACTTATGGGAAAGAAGCAGTATTTTAATTGCATGTACAATTTTCTTTCTTTTTTTTTTTTTTTTTTTTACAGCTATCAAGAAAAGAATTTATGTTTCATAATCACAATTTTTGTTGCATAATAATCTTTTATAATTTTTTTCTTTTTTTTCTTTGCTGCTGGGCTTCCTTTTGAAGGTCAGTAACTTCTCAGCATCCTCCTCATTTGTAGAATTAATGCACGATCATTAGTTTTATCAATGATTCCCTTAAGCATTTTAAATTAATGGCACTATGCAAATTATGTTAGGAACTTTCACAACTATTTAATAATTTCAATAATGTCAAATTCATCTCAAAAAATCTTCCCAATCTCAGCCACTCCATGCAATTTTCACTGTCATTTCTTTATGTTCCAAATGTAAACGAAATTTCATTCATATTGTTTTTTTCCAAGAACTACTTTGGGGAACAGAAACCTGCATGATGGCTTCCTTGGACACTTCAATCTTGACCTCTTCAAGAGTCATGGGTCGATCAGGGTTTACGGCTACATCATGTTTAAACATTGGTTCCCGTATGATCACTGAAGTTAAGCAACATTGAGCCTGGTCAGTACCTAGAGGGGGGACTGCTTGGGAATACCAGGTGCTTTAAGTTTGGACGTGTCGATGGTTTAATGGATAATGGCTCGGAATTGTTAAGTAGCAAGCTGAGTTCCAATTCCAGTTGGGTTCTTTATGTTCACTTACACACAAATATCCTTGGTATGAATCCACTTCTTAGTAAGTAATTAGTAAGACTTATTTTCCCTAAATTATTATCTCCCATAAAAATTCTTACAATCTATATTTTCTGGCTTTAAATAACCTGAAAAGGGTTGATAAGCCATAAAAAAGGAATCTATCATGGGTCAATCACTATCATCCTTATCCTTATAATCTTCATTTCTTACCACCTTCCATTCATATCTCACACCTCATTCACCATTACTATTTTATTGACTGTAACTCTTCAGTGGCCCTTGGGCCTTGTATTGAGAGAAATTTAGTAAAAAAAAAAATCTCAGCATATTTAAGATGTCTGCTTACAATGATGTGATCTATATTATCAGTTCATGGTTCATTTAAAATGTTATTTAGTACACCCCCCCCACCTCTTTCAGTTTTTTGGTTAATTTAAATGTAATCAATGGTTTTTGATTTCAGCCAAATATTTTTTTTTTTTCTGACAGCTCATCTCTGATGTAGAGACATTATTTTACTCTGCGGTATTTCTCCTGCTTGTTTTGACAGATAGCTATTATATTTGCATAGTGGAAATTCTGTGTGGTTATGAAAGATAGTCAATTCTTCTGCTTACAGGAACAAGAATCCAATGTATCACAAAATATCCCAGTGAAAAGGCCATTTCTTCGTCGAGGTCAAGGCATTGCTCGATTCAATCCACCACCAGATGAGAAATCTGTCCAAAGGGTGAAGAAGAGTCAAAGAGCTATGTCTAGCATCCCACCGGCTGTTGTGCCTACTAAGGAGATCAATCGTAGGCCGATGTCTCAACCAGTGATAACAAGCAATAAATCCAAAGTCAGTGAGATTTTTTTTTTTTTTTTTTTTTTTGGCCAAATTTTCAATCATCAATGTTTCAAATTTGGTTCACACTACAAATCCCCTGGCTTCCTGTTGCTTTTCTTTCAATTGTTTCTTTTTTTTCTCTCTTTGTTACTGACCCTTTAGAACATCCCTAAAACAACTGACCCTTTAGAACATTGTTATATTCCATGCTCATAGAAATATGTACTTGAAAAACAAGGTGGATAAAATAAATAAAGGTTTATTGTAAAAACCAGTACAATAAAAATAAAGGTAACAGTTATGCACAAGGTCTTTGCAAGTCAATCCAGTAGTGAGTGCTACTATAGGAAGGTCAGTAGTTCTCATATAAGTCTAAGTTGTACTCAACAGATCCCAGTTAGAATCTGTAGTCCGTTGACTTACAGATACTTATAGGTAGTTACTACCTGTAGTGTAGTCACTCATGGGGATGACAGGTTATTCCATTACATCACTACATCACCCCTGTCCCCGAGCTGACATTTTCCTCTAGAAAATTTAGCTTTCTAATACTTTCTCTTTTTTGCTTAAACCACACTTTGGGTGTTCTTTTCCTTGTATTCTTTCGAGGCAAATATTATCTTGATCTATGGGCAAAGCTGGTGTAGGAGATGTATCTATGCATTCTGGTATGTTAGTGGGTGGTGTTATTTCAAACGTGTTGTACAGGACATCCATCGGAGTTTCTTCATCATCCTGTTGAACGATTTTAGAGTATCTTGGTTTTAACTGGTTTACATGCCTTTTGCATACACATCTTTTTCCTTTCACCGTATAAATTACTCTTCCAATTCTATTTGAAATAATTCCATCCTCCCAGTAGTTCCTGAAGAAAACTTTGTCACGAGGCATATACTTCTTTGCAGAGAAATTCTCTTTGTTATGCATTTTTCTTTTTGGACAAGACAACAATCTGTTGAATATTGATTGTATCTTTCTTGCAAACATCTCTAAAAATACTGGTCGATTAGAACATCCCTAAAACTACTGACCCTTTAGAACATCCTTAAAAATACTTTGAAGAAGAAAAACTGCATTAATACTCATGTTAACTTTGGTAGGTTTTGCAGAAGATTCTATAATTACCAAAATAAACCCAATTTTCTGAAATACTGCTTTGTTTAACCCTATAGCATTCACGTTACACATCTATATATTTATATCGCCCCATGCATTCATGTTTGTTTCTGTTGCCAAAGTTTCATAGAAAAAAATCTGTCAAAAACAAAGTCGAATAGTCGACTTGCCTGACATTCTTTGATAATGTCTATGTCCATTATGTTCCAAAAATGCTGGTAAATTGATATCATAGAGGTCGTTTGTCTACTCAAGATCTGACACATATGCGTCAACAGCATTATCTTGACCTGAATCACTCAGTTCATCACTATTAATGTCAGAAATGTCAATATCCAACTGATGTAGCATTATGGATTTTTTCAAATATCTTCTTTCCTGAAAAAAACACTCCTTTTCCCATGCCAACATACATGACTATAAGAATTTTAAAAATTAAAAGAAAATGGTTAAATTATAAACATTCTATTATTTAAAATATATAATACATAGATTAATCTTAAACTAAAATAATATAAATAATAATTACATTATAAAAAAAAAAAGTTCAATGAATTTTACTATGATTTATTAGACATTAAATTATATTACTGAGCATCCTCCATAATTGATCTTGATTTTCAATTAGCCTGATGTATATTTATGAGTGTTCTTAAATTTAAAGATTCTAAAAACTAACAACACTTTTACTTCTAGGTATAAATGTTGCAAAATAAAATCCTTATATTTGATTTCATAAAGTCCATTAGAGAACAAAACATGTCAGCTAAGATAAGTTTTCCTTTTGTCTTTATTTATATTGTCCTTCTAAAGATATATTTTTAGTTATATCTGAATTTGTGTACACACACATATATCTAATGTAAATTTATTTCTAATGATTTTAATTATAAAAATCTCATAAAAGTATCATAACTTGGTTAATTATGAAGATTATGTTTGGTTGCTGTGAGATCAAACAAGAAACTGAAACATGTAAAACAAGTGAAGAAAAAGAAAAACTTTGAAGATAAATACTGAGTTTTATTTGACTTCCATTTTTTTAATTTCTTTGATGTTGGTGTCTGAAAAATTTGTTAAATAATCAAGTGATTAATCTTTATAAATATTCAATGAATGTCAGGATATGTTCTTTTGTGCACTATATAAAAATGTTAAAATCACAATCCCTACTCTGATCTAGACAATATCTATTTACTTCTAAACATTATAAAAATGATTATTACATTTTAAAAATCATAGGAGTTCAATTTCCTTTCTACATCACTGAGTGAATTTAGTGGCACTGAATGTTTCGTTATATATTACTCAGTGTGAATGACCAAAAGATTTTTTAGTTTTTAGGTTTTTCTTAGTGGATATCCCACACTGTAAGTTCTGCCAGGAAGAGCATCAGTGCAAATTTACTGTAGATTTCCTTGCAATCAAGGAACTCTCTAGACAAAATTTTTTTTCTAAATTATATATATATATATATATATATATATATATATATATATATTTTGAAAATTTAAGTGAAACAGTTATTTCCATATAGTGCTCAGTCAGTATTAAAAATAGAGCATTGATAATATTATTTTTTATGTATGCTGAAGAATTACTTAACTGCAGTTGTCAATAACAGCAAGGATTGATATGGCCAATTACAGTTAAGTAATTCTTTCGTATATATAAAAATTATATATATATATATATATATATATATATATATTTCATGCCACTTTGACAGAAAAATTTACCAGTAAAAAAATTTGTTCATCACCATATTTGGTATAAACGCAAACACTTTAAAAATTTAAAATCAAACTCAGTGTTGCTTTGGCACATTCCAAAACCAATAACTCATTTTCAATAGCATTTTCGGATACAACAACACATATATTTTCGTTGTCCTCTTATTACTAAGAGAAAAAAACAAAAACAAAATCTATTCTATACCTGAAGATGTCTGTAGGAACAGACGAAAGCTTGTAGTAAAAATAACAACTAATACGGCAGAAATTTATATAAACAAGGATCAATTCATTCATAACGGATCTGGAGGTTTTTGTATACTATTTGAATTGTTTGCGATGATGGATGTCTCGCCATTTAAATCATTAACCTTTGCATTAGTTTTGTGTGAATAATTCATGTATTTATATATATATATATATATATATATATATATATAGATTAATACAAATATAAAATTTGTCACTGAGCTGATTTATGTTATATTCAGCACCTTGACTCCAGAGATTTATAGCTGAACACTTTTGTAATTGTTCAGCCCATTGTCAGGATATATCAGCAATTGTATGCTGATTTTTCTCATTTGCGTTATTTTTATATTAAGTTAAAAAATAACTTGTATATCTGTGTATAGTTAAATTTTCTAGAATAATTCTGAAAATAAGACAAATTGGTTTAAAAATTACGATTGGAAAAAAATTCTTAGTTCTTGCCAACATGTTTTGTCTTTCGACTTTATCAAGGCAAGCAATGAAATCAAAATGTTTTGTAGTCATAGTTACATCAAATCCAAATTTTTTCCAATTGACATTTTTAAACACATATATATATATATATATATATATATATATATATATATATATATATATAAAATTGATTTAAAATATGGTTTTTCCGCTACACAGTTCTACCCATGTTTCAAAAATGGAACGTCCGAATTTAATTTTGTAATTAAATTAAAGACATTAGTTCCATTTCATCCTCAAGTGAATTTTGGAGTAACTTATTTTTTTAAAATTACTGGGTTTTAAAGACTCAGCAAAAATCATAATTCATGTTTCCAAGGAAACAGAGATATCCATTAATCCAGACAATGGCTTTTTGCATATTCATTATCATTGTATTTTGATGTATCTGTATCAGGTTTTGGTAGGGGTAGGGATGTATTTTCAATGAATTCTGACATTTGTTAAATGCATGACGTCTGGATGTTTTTTAAAATTTTATTGTTAACGGCAAAAATTCTTACTCCATTTTTTTTCTATTTGTATATTTAAAGATTTTTTTGGGGGTATTTAGTTTAGAATACGTTTTATTTAACTACAATTTGAAAAAATATTTTCACTTTTTATTTTTAATATACTATATTTCTTTTTTTAAAACAAGTAAATGTATTAGAATCAATTACATTATGTAAAATTATTTTCACATCAAGTATAAGTATGTATATTACTAAGTCACAATTTTTTTTAATTTTTTATATTTAAATATTATTAAAGTAAAACCCATGACAATGACTTTAAAAAAAGCTAATTAATTTCTCTGATTTAGTAAACTTTTATTTTTTATAAAACCTAGTAATATATAGTTTCTCATGTAAGTACAAAAGGACATGGGTCATTTAATGGCTTACATCTTCTAGCTTTTCATATTAATTTCATTTTACTATAGGTGTTTTATTGGATTCTTTTAAGTGCTTGTAGTACTTTGAGATCTATAGGTTAGTTTTTATTTAATTACAATTTTAAAAGATGTTAGAATTTTCGTTTTATTTAACTACAATTTTAAATACAACACTGTTAATTTAGTTTTAATAGACTATATTTCTTTTTTAAAAGAAGTAAATGTATTAGAATTACTTACAATAAGTAAAATTATTTTTACATATCAAGTATAAGCATGTATATTACCAGGTCACAATTTTTTTAAATTTTTATATTTAAATATTATTTAAGTAAAATTTATTACAATTACAGCAAAAATAGCTAATTCATTTCTATAAGAACACTGGATTATATATCTTACTGTTCTTTTTTTTTTATATATATATATATATATATATATATATATATATATATATATATATATATTGTGAATGTATATAATCATTAATGGCTCAGAATAAGAAATCAGCAAGAGGATTTTAAAGTCCAGTTCACTTTTAGACAATACTTTTGGCAGAAATTTATGAAACTATCTTTTCTTCGACCAGCTATGGGCTAAATATCAGTGCAGACTGGGATTTTTACTATAGATTATCTTTAAAGACAACTCCGAAATGAAAAACACATGTCACTTTTGTGTCACAATTGCACAATGATTAATTAATGGTTAAATAAATGGTTTATATCTACTATTAAAACATATTTTAATGACTATTATTAATAAACATTGAGATTGAAACCTTCTGTTTTGATTTATCATTAATTCAAATCTTGAAGAAAGAAAAAGCAATTTACTTCTTTATTGAAAGTTAAATATTCAAATATTAGGAAATACATTTTTTCTCTCACCCAGCAAATCCTGTTCATTAAACATGTTGCAAAAGGAGAAAGAACAGAAAGGTAAAGTTTATTAACAGCTACAAAGGACAGGAAATTGTGGATCACCAACATCCTGAGGGAACACATTACATGAAGAAGATGCTAGAACAGGGATTGGGAAATAGAGTAAAGGTTGGATGAAATATTACCTGGAGCTGAAAAGAATAGGAAGTTGTACAGAGTCATCTTCACTTTATACATCCTCAATGGATATGCCAGAGAGGAAGAATTAAAAGAATTCTTCTATCCTGAAAATAAAATTATAACTAACAAAATAATTCTATCAGTTTGGATAATAGTAATCAGTTATCTTGAATTATTATGAAACAGAGCATTATCAACCATTATTGCTTTTTAAGTAAATTTCTTTGATCTTCATTTCAAAACCTTTATTTACTAGAGTTTCTTTTTTAATCAATTCAAAGCAATCAAGGTTTTAATGCCTCTAAATTGCAAGAGGCTACTTGGAATCTACCATCAGACTAAGAAGACCCTAGAAGGAACAAGAAACCCAATCCTAAATAGGAAACAAGGGATAAACCTCTACTCCTGTTCAAAAGACCGGAAAGAACCCAGATGAAAAGCAAATGTATTAGTAGTAGTAATAGTGTCTTGAATGTTTAATGCAAGAAGATTAGTCCAACATTAATTTTGACAAAATTTTTTCATCTTAATTTTACCTGCTTTATTTCCATAAGCAGCATTAATAATAATGTGATATTATCTTTCATTTTTTATGAGAGGAAGCATTCTCAACTATTGATAATTTTTTTTATTTTTCATCTTAATCTTAGTTGCATTATTTAAACTAGTAGTATTGCTAGTAGTAATAATACCTTGAATTTTTTTAACCACATAAAACATAGTCGTTCATAAAAACAAAATAAAGCACTCAAATTTATTGTTAGGTAGGGGTCCTGCATTTCTTTCCCCTCTGCCCCTCTTCTTCTTTTTTTTATTATGTGTCCTAGAAATTTCAACTATCACTCTCTGGTGTTAATAAATGTCCATTTTGTTTCTGTTTTCTCTAAGACTTTGATGTTGAGAGATATTCAATTTATGGTATCCTCAGCATCCTTCTGTAAAACCACATTTCTGTTCCTTCAAGTCTCATCTTCATCTGTGAAGAAATTGTCTGGCATAATCTTGTATATCAGTTGAGTTAAACATTCTAAAATATAATTCTATTGTTTTTGCTGTTTCCTTGCTAATTAAATTTTATCTGTTAAAGTAAGAAGTCAAATAATGACTTTTAAATTATAGTTCAGAGGCATGGCCAATAAATCTTTTAGGTGACAAGAACTGGAGGCATAAAAAAATCTTCAGTAATCTGTTTTCTCTTGAATTAGGTTTTCATTAAGAATGCCTATATATAAAGACCTATATTTTTTTGTTGTTTGATAAATTGGCCTGTTTCACTCCTGAGCTAATGTCTGAACCAATTTCAGTTTCCATTGCCAAATAAATAAAATACAAAACCAACTTTAATATGAATGGATGAATTTAAACAATGTTATTGATACTATTTGATATAACAGTAAATAAAATATTGAATAAAATCATGGTATGTGTGGTTAAGAATAAATTGTTAGTAGTATCATCATTTATTTGACTATATATATGAGTGATGCTGAAAATCATCATATCTTTTGTTTACTTCCATATACCTTTTATGACTATTCAAATATGAATTTATTGAAGCATAAAATATTGTTCCGTATTTCATTGCATGCAACTGTACAAAAAAGTGTTTTAATGACTATAGTATTCTCATTCTCTCAGACATCTTACCAAAGATTAATACTCAGTTTTTACATTTCTTCATAGGCACATGACCTTTCTGGTTCATGGTAGACATCATTTACTAAAAGAAAATAAAACTGCCTGTAATTTCTTGGTAGGTATTTTCCTTCTCCTGAACTGGTTTTGTCCTCAATGAATGAGATCTCAGTAGACCCTGTTATTTAACCTATAGAGAAGAGAAATGATAGATTCATACTTTTTTCGAGAGTATTTATGTGAAAGTGAATATAGTAAACTTAGCCGGAATTTAAAGTCATCTCACTAATTTCTCTTTCTGGCCTGCTAACTTATTATATGGTGAAAAAAAAAAACTTTATTAGAGCTCACTCCTCTGAACATATTCAGAAAATGGATTCATAGACACTGCTTTATAAGAGGCTTTATAAGAGGATTGGGCTTTATAAGAGGATCCAAACTTGACAGGACTGTGCTCTTTAAGATATACCATATATAATTTTCAAATTCATCTTCTTCTGGATATTAGTGATCATTGCTCTCTTACAGTTTTCTTTGAAGCCCTTAATAAATTTTGTCTTTTTGCTAGACAGTTTTCTTTGAAGCCCTTAATAAATTTTGTCTTTTTGCTAAACAGTTTCCTTTGAAGCCCTTAATAAATTTTGTCTTTTTTTGCTAAACAGTTTTCTTTGAAGCCCTTAATACATTTTTGTCTTTTTTGCTAAACAGTTTTCTTTGAAGCCCTTAATAAATTTTGCTTTTTTGCTAAACAGTTTTCTTTTCCTGGATAATACATTTTGTCTTTCTACTAAACAGTTTTCTTTGAAGCCCTTAATACATTTTGTCTTTTTTGCTAAACAGTTTTCTTTGAAGCCCTTAATACATTTTGTCTTTTTTTGTCTAAACAGTTTTCTTTGAAGCCCTTAATACATTTTGTCTTTTTATATAAACAGTTTTCTTTGAAGCCCTTAATACATTTTGTCTTTCTACTAAACAGTTTTCTTTGAAGTCCTTAATACATTTTGTCTTTCTACTACTAAACAGTTTTCTTTGAAGCCCTTAATACATTTTGTCTTTCTACTTAACAGTTTTCTTTGAAGCCCTTAATAAATTTTTTGTTTTTTGCTAAACCGTTCTACCATCCATTTACACAAGCTCAATAATAGATTATGACCTGATTCTGTTCTCCCTCTTGGCTTTAATCTACTCAGTTTCTCTCCTCTCTGCCAACAGAGATCTTTTTCCCCTCAGTATCAACAGAGTTGTTTCCTTTCGAAAAGTTGTATCTTTAATAACACCAAACATCATTTGTCTTGTGAGTCATTAGAGTTCTAGAAGCATGACATGTATTGCAGATGTAGCAAAAGTGGGGTATCAAAAATATGATTTGGTCCATTCTTCTTCAAGAGTTGTCTGAATGCCCTACTAAGGCTAAAGAACATAGTTTTCTCTACTATTTCACACACAGCTGTACAAAAATGAATTCATTCAGTCCAAAAATATAGAGAATAATAAAAAATGCACTCTAACAAATGTTTCAAGAAAGAGGTCTCAAGATGAACCTTTCCAAAATAGAAACTATGATCTTATATTGGAATGAAATCAGTGATCATACATACCCTAAATCCATCATGGAAATTCAGGATGTGTGAAGTAATAACCATTTGTCACTAAACATTCAATGACTTTGGTGTATGGATCAGTATTAACAAATTTAGTATAAAAGAGGTAGTTTCACTCAACACTACAAATTGCTAAAAAAAATAATAATCTAAAAGCTCAAGTCATAATCTTAAATAGCCTCATCAGATCTAGAGTTTCATATAGATGTCATGTAGGGAGCCAAACTCATTCAGAAATATCTAAACTCTCAGCTGTATGCAACTCCACTCATATCAATGGTTAGAAATGGCTTTCAACAAATGAAATCTGTAGGTCTTAGTGAGGACCATCCTTTTTTCAAACCTTCTGAACTGGTGCTACAGGATCACAAAGAACTGTACCAGATATCAGAAACAACTTCATATAAGGAAAGTCAACAACAGTTGCAAGTAAAATTGATATCACGTGTAACTCAAAGAGAAAATTATGATATAATCAAGATATTCACTTTCCACATTACTGTAAACGAAAAGTTAGAAAGGAAACTCCCTGTCAATATTGGTAAAAAAACAAGTCTGTCGCAGGAGTCGCTTGATAAAGAGCCAGAAAATAGGTTTCTTCTTGCAAAACATATTTTCCTGAAAAATTGTTGTTATTAAGAAAATTATTTTTTTGATTTCAACATATAGTAGCATTGGCTGCTCAGTCAATGAATGTTAAATGTTTCCTTCGAGGAAAATGACAAAATTACCATTACTATTATCATCTGGTTGATAAAAATAGACAAAAATGGGAATTTTTCATTTTAAATTCTGCTAAATTAAATAAAATTGAAAAGACTTTGTAGTGAAAGCTAATTCGGCTTTGCAATCATAAAAAAGGCGAAAATATTCGGGCATTTTGATATAAACCACTTGTTAGTGAGTGAGTTATTTTTCTGACTGGTTACACGCATTATGATTTGAGATAGTACCGGCGAATCGAGTTTTCAGCATTTCTTTTGCCCCCCCTGAATTCAGTCTGTACTTACAGTGATTTTGTGTTGTGTTCCACAGCCCTGAGTGCAGGATAATCCATGGAGTCAATCTATTATGTTTATCTCATGAGCTACAATAAAAATATAAAAGATATAGATATTAATAATGGTAGATAATAATTTTTATGCAGGTGTTCCCTGAGATATGAAAGCTATTTCAAGTGTGACACAAGGGTAAAATGGTTGAGAAATGCTGGTATAGATGTTTACTCCAGGTGGTAATTTATACTTAAATGGATTATGATTTCATTTTATATTATGGAGGAGTTTAATGAATTTTAGGTCTAGTGATACTTTTGCATTGACTAATTTGCATATCCAAAGAATTATCCTATAAAAAGATAAGTAAACATATTAGTAGACTTATTACAAGTTTTGTGAATGGCACTGATTCAAGTTAACATGTCACAAAATCAGAATACATTTTTTACATCATTGTATTAAATGCGTTAAAAAATTGTGTTGAAAAGTCAATGGATTTTCATTTGTTTTAAATTGAAACCACTTTTCCAGTCTTTTGATTTATATGCAACAGATTATGTTAAATTGGTTCTGAGATGTAAAGAATGTGCATTCTTTCTGGAATTAAAGCTTGTTAGTTAGATATTTTAATTAAATTAACAATCTAATCTATATATTGTCTTTATCAATGAAATTTACATTTGATTGAAAACTACTTTGTTCTAGGTTGAAAAATCGGATTTGGCTGAATTTGAGTTCATGGAACAAATGGCTGATGATATGTCGTTCTGTAGTGATTCTTCAGTAGTCATGAAATTTATGGACAACCGTCTTCCAATTCAGGTCAGTTTTTAGAGATTGAACATCAATTAATTTCAATGAACAAAGCCAGAAAACATCACAGAATATAATTAATGGAATATAATTAAAAAAAAAAAAAAGGATAAAAGAAATTAACTCAATATTATTTTTTTTTTACAAAACATTGAAATTCTTTTTGTTTTAGTTTCTTTTTTTTTTTTATCTCCAGATACCTGATTCCTCAAAATCTAAAACTTCGTCACCCAAACAAAGAAGCCATTTAGCGAAACAATTTGGAGAAACACGGTAATCTTTGAACCTTTCTCTCACTTCTTTACAAAATGTTACTTGATTGTGGGGTGGGGGATGATTTAATCATTATCAGTGCGGAAAATGAAATTTGTTAATAAAGTTTGAGTTTCAGCTGAGGTTTCTTATGTGTGCTTTACACTAATTTCTTTAGCAAAGGTATGAAAGCCCTTTGCACTGTCTCATCATCAAATATCTTGACACACTGTCTCATCGCTAGCATGGTAGATGGAAAAGAGAATGGATGAATGAACCTATGTCATTTCTCAATGAGTATTTTTTGTGGGTGGGGGTGGTCTTTTTATTTTTGCATGTGCTATATTACTGATGAAATCTAGTAGTTTTGGGCCAGTTGTTTGCTACGATTAGGATTGTCAATGACTTTCTGTCAGAACTGTATTCATTAAGTATTCCTAAATTCCTATTTAAACCTAGAATGTGTGAATTTCTTTTAAAAATGTACTTCAGTCATTTTCTCACTAACATGGCTTGGCTTCTCTCTGTCTTTTCTACAAACATTTTCATGGCAACTGCTCTGATGAGCTTTTTTCCCTGGTGCTCCAACTACATGAATTTAAGCATGAAAAAATGTAGGAGTTTCCTTCTATAATGATTTCACAAACCCCACATTTTTTTTTTTTTTTTTTTTTGCATTTTGTGACCCCCCTGTATTGTCTGTTGGTTAAATTTGGATGAGGTTAATATGTGATTCAGGTTTTTTGGTTATCATTTGCTTTTAATTATTATTTTTTTTTTTTTTTTAGCATATTTTTCATTTTATCATTCTTGTTAAGTAGGTCTAGATTTTTTTTGTAATTTCTGTAAATAGTTCTGGATTGTTCTTGTTGTATGGTGAGACATGTACCAGAGTTTGTTCAATGTTATGTTTCTTTGGATTTTGTAGTTGTTCTAAAGGTATTTTCCTGCTAGTTCAAAACCTTTGTTTATTAGTGTTGTGGGGATAGCTTCGGTTTTTTTTTTTTTTTTTTTTGAGTTCTGTGTAGTTCTAGGCAGATTTTTCAGAGGTGTTTGTTGGTCACTATTGTGCCAACCCTACATGCTATGGAATAGGGGATGGATTTTCAGACAGCTTTTTGGGTGATGGCTCTTGAAATGAAGATATTGTTGTGTATCTGTAGGTTTGTGGTAGATATCTGTGACTATGTGGTTGTTTCTATTTCTAATGAGTATATCTAAAAATGGTAATTCATTAAAATTATATTCTTGGGTGCATTTGATTTTTGAGTGTAAGTTCTGAAGTAGAGTGTGGAACTGGTTAATATCACCCCAGGAGGATTTCCAGAAAATGAAGCAATCATTGTTTAGAATTAGGTCTAAACTATTGATAATGAATTCCTTAGTGAATCTGGGATGTAGTGTTTTTGAATGTTTTTCAATCCAGAATGAGATTGCCTGTTTGCCTAATTCATGGGGTTTGTTGCTATATAGGCTACTGATGTCAAAAGTTGCCATAAGTGTTCCCGGATCTACTTTTGTGGTATGGAAATAAGAAAATGAATATCATCTCTGATGTAGCTTTTAATCTGCTTAGTAAATGGTTGTATTATTGTGTCTATTAAGTTACTGAGTCTGCCAGTTGGACAGACTAGTCCTGCTACTATGGGTCTGAATGTAAAATCACTGAGTTTGGGATGTTAATGTATTGAGATTTTTGTGTCTGGATAGCTGCTTTTATTTCACTGAATTTGGTAGTCTGTAGAAATTGCTTGTTTTTGGTACGAAGTTTATTAGGAAATCCTTTTCTTTTTTCTTAATATCTCATGTGTTGTGCATAGTTTTGTAATTTTTGATATATTATTTTTGTCTATTAATTGGTCAATTAATTTGTAGTTGTTCTTATTCACTAGTGCCTCTAGAATTTTTGTTTTATAGTATATTTTGTCCATGATCACTATAGTGCTGCCTTTATCTGCTTCCTTTTTAATTATGTTGTTATTTCTTCGGATGCTCTCTAAGGCTTGTCTTTGTTTGTATGTAAGGTTGTTGAATGGTTTGGATTTTTCTTGTAGGTCGAGGTTCCAGAGTTTTTTCAAAAAGATGTTTAGCTCATTTGTATTATTATTTTTGTTTGGGAAGAAATTTGATTTATTTTTTACTAATGATTCATCTGTAATGTTTTCATTATTATTAAATGATTCTTTTAGTCTGAGTTTGCGTTCAACACTCGCACACACAAGTGTCTATAAAGAATGAATATGTATACACATGCTGGTAAAAACAAACACAGTAGACTACTCACAAGCACACACATGAACCCTACACAACATAGGGAAGTGTATGTATCTCTGTGTGTATGTATATATATATATATATATATATATATATATATATATATATATATATATATATATACTGTTTCCTTATGATAAAACAGTATGTATGTATGTATGGAGAAGGAATATGCATACACATACATGCACACACAATACACAAAAATGGAAATCTCAGAAGATACAGGGGTCATAAAAAGATTAGAACCAAGACATCCTTCCTTCACCCTTTCTCTGACCAATCCTAATTGTTTTATTACTCCTTAAACAGAAGAACACTTTTGCCACCAGTCCAAGAAGAAACTACTACACCAAAAAAAAACAAAGGTTAAACATCGAAAGGTATAAGGAAAATTAATTCCTTTTAATAATATATAGAAATATCCACTCTTTTCCTGATGAAGGTCGTGAGACTGGCAACGCATGTAGCAAAAGTATGGAAAATAAAATGTAATATTAAAAAAATCCACATTATAACCAAAAACATTTGCAGTTTCTCTCTTCTTTTTAATACACACACACACACACACACAAACAGAGTATCACTCATAAATAAGTAAAACACTACCAGTTTTATTTTTAGAAAGTTATTTCTACATCAAATGTACCAGTGTACACTTCAACCTTCTTCAGGTGATTAGAATTTCAAACTGAACCCATATTATTTTTAGTGGACCATTATCCAGTCATAATGGTACTGGTAAAATTAGTAATTCCCTTTGATTTAGATATAGATGGTAATCATAATGGTAATATTAGCTGTTTCCTTAAAAGAAACATTTTGCATTCATTGACCGAGCAGCCAGTGTTATTGTCAGTTGAAATTTATAAAATCTTTATCTTAAAACAATTTTTCTAGAAATAGGTTTTCTCGAAAATAGGTTTCTCAAGTCCAGTAACTGTTACTAGTCTTTCTATCATTAATGGGGGTTTCCTTCTTAACCTTTAGTTTGAAGTAACATGGAATGTCAACATCTTGATTACAACATCGTTTTCTCATCAATTTAAAAGTATGCTGTTCATTTTAGTCATTGTTGTTGCTGCTGAAAGTTTTCAAGTAATATTGTTTCTGTTATTTGGTAAAATTTGGTATTATTTATAACCAAACCCAACCTTTGGACAACTTATTTTCAACTCTTCAAATGATTTGTTATAATATTCTCAATTAATTTTTATCAATGTAGTCACAAGTTGAAGTTAAAAATTCTTTCTTTTCTTTTTCCCTCCCATTTCCAGGAGTTTATCATCCAAACTACATACAAATGCCAGTCAGAACACATCCGAGTCTATTTCTTCAGATCAAGATGATACACTTGTAAATTCCGAGACTGACATTTTAATTGGTTCACCAAAAAAATGCATTGAAAATGAAGTTGACAGTGACAATCAGTCTTTGCTTGAGTATGAAGAGTCTGACATTGACGAGGCTCCCATTTTACCTGGAAATAGAAAGAAGGATTCAGCTATTCAGACCCAGATTGACCACCTGTTTGAAAACTCGAGTCCGAGCCATAAAACAAGTGACCAGTTGTCAAGTAAGGATGCCACTGCTAAGTTGATCCGTAAAGTAACTGTTGCCTCTCAGTTTGATTTCAAAGCAATCAAAGGATCTGATGTAGTCTTCCCTCCTAAAGTTCTTACAAGGAAGATCGCTCCAAAAGACGATTGGTTGAGGCAGAAAATGATGCAAGACACTAACTCTGTTAAGAGCTCTTCAAGTGCTGACACTCTCTCTGCATTTGGACAGAATGGTCGAGATGAGAGCATCGAAGGTGGAACAAATTCTGACATCCATTCGTCTGATGAATGCTTCACCGATAGCGGCACTATTGAAAATTCTGGTTCAAACAGTTCTCGGTCTTCATCTGTTACTGATGCATTTGATGACCATGATGAGTGGAATGATACTTGTGATTCTGTTCAAAAGAATCTGAAGCATTTAATTCCAAAAGATCCTGGAACTGAGGAAAATACTGTAGAAAGTTCTGAAAAATTTATTGGTAAGTATCGGTCATTTTTCTTTGTTGAATAATTTTATTGTTGCTGCTACCAAATGCATGTCGTGTTATTGGATCCTCTAGAAGCCATATTTGCAAACAGCTTGGCCTACCTGGGATGAGAGGAAGAATTAATCCATTAAATGAGAGACGTTTCAAAAGTTTTCAGTTGAACTTTAACAACACAACAGAAAGATAATAATAGGAGTAGATAGGTTTGCCTATTGCCCGATTCATACTCCTCTCCAGTCTTTTGAACAGGCGTAGAGGTTTATGCCTTGTTTAGAATTGGATTTCTGCTTCCATCTAGTCTACTTCAACTGCTAGCATCTCTCTCTTAATTATGAAATTTTATTTAGTAATTATTTTTTTTGTTTTTCCTTCAATAAAAGTAGATGGGTTTGCCTATCATCCAAGTCACACTTCTTCCCAAGAGATTTATCCCTTGTTTCCTGTTTATGATCAGGTTTCCAGTTCCTTCTAAAATATTTTCATTCTGTTTCAAGTGATTAAAAAATAAAAAAAAAATAATACTTTTGTTTTATTTTATTTTATTTTCAACAAATGTGTTGATTCCAATCTGTAATGGAATGACTGCAAAACTTTTCACCTCTCTCCTTTTATAGACAAAAGTTCACAAAATGCATGCTGGGATATTTTTCTTAGCTAATAAAATTGGACGACTTGCATTTTGACATAGCTCAAGTCCAGATCTCCTTTATCTACTCAGCAGACCAACTGCATTTGCTTGTCTGACCTTGCTTTTTTGTACAAACATCGACTCATAGTTTGTGAACTCCTTTGCCTTCTTACCTGTTGATTTATCTTACCTCGGAATTTGAAAGGAGCACAAACATGTCTTGCCTGCAAAGTGATGACAAAAAAGAAATATGGCCGCTATTGAAGACATAATTTATGTGCGCCTATCTTGTCTAAGACAAGACGATATTTACACACATGCAAATTTTGGCCATCTTGGAATAGCATAAAAAGTGGGGTGCCAGCAGCACGACAGAACAGAAGTTATTCGGCAGACTGCTTGTGATAGAATTGGATGTATGGATTGACAGAAATTGAGAAAGTTGAAGTATGCGGGGCTGAGTTGGTGTCTTTTTCACAACTGCCCAGTGCAACGGCTGAGAAAGGGAGCCACGCAATCCATTTCCTTGAGGCGACCGAAGATGAAGAAAAATAGCTGGCCTGCTGGTGAGCTTCGCACTGCACTTTTTGACCCCCCTCTCATCATTTATTTTTCCCAACAAGCTATTTCAGCAGTTATGGTGAAGGTTCGCATAAGCAGCGACGTTATAAAAAAAATTTTCCGGCCAGGGCGATGTGGTGGTGTGGCTAAAAAAGATGGCAAGACTTCAGCAGGTGGACGATGTGGCTAGCCTGCTGCCATTGTAACTGGAGGGGGACGCACCAGCCCTCTACATGGAAATAGAGGAGAAGGATCAGAGAGACGTACAGAAAACTGACCATGGTTATGTGGACCGGCGAACGTGTGGATGTCTATGCGAACAAAATCAGGCAGCTTGTTGGATTGGCCAGGTTCAAGAGAACTGAGATGGAAAGGTTTGCCAAACTAGCCTTCGTCATGGGGTTCCCTGATACGATCTCCATTGAACTCTGACAGGCACCGAATGTTGAAGCTCTGACTGTGGGAGAGTTATTAGCAACAGCGAGAGTGCTGACAACAACTGGGGATGATAAGCCAGGATGTAGTTGTGGCTGTGCACCCACTCCACAGTGACGACGCATCTCCCACAAAGAGTGGCCCAATCACCGGTGTGACATGCTTCAGGTGCAGTAGCAAAGGCCACATAGCAAAAGACTGCTGGAAGTGCAGAATACACTGCTATCGATGCAGGGAGGTTGGACACTGGGCTTGAGACTGTTTGGAGAACAGGGGACAAGGCATCAGTGCCAGATTTTTCCCCCAATCAAGATGTAAATACAGCACTCCTGGTGGCAAACATCCTTGTCGACGGAACTTGGTGTTCAGCGTTGATTGATACTGGCTGTTCACAGACGATTGTGGATGCAGATCAGTGCCAGTTTTGGAAGAGAGTGACGGTAGATGTTATAACTATTGGAGGCATGTCCCCTCCATGTTGTGGTGTAGGAGTGGTAAACGTATCCATGGAGGAAGGCGGTTTTGCCAAGATCAACTTGTTGATGGTGTGTGGTAAACCACTGGACTGCAGCATGGAAGTGGTCAGAGGACTACGCGCATGAAAGACTGCACAATGGGGTTTCTGAGCACCCGGTAGCAGCAGAAATCAGGGAGGACTATGAGCAGGAGCTCCGCATGTGGAGGAGCAACAGCTGGCTTGTACCGTACCTTAGAAAGGGGGAGATTAAGGGGAGGTAAATATGATTGCATTCGTCCATTCAAATTGAGGTGGGTGTGTTGATTCCAATCTGTAATGGAATGACTGCAAAACTTTTCCCCCTCCACATTTATAGGCAAAATTCTACAAAATGCATGCTGGGATATTTTTCTTAGCCAATAAAATGGGACAGCTTGCATTTTGACATGACTCAGTCCAGATCTACCTTATCTACTCAACAGACCCACTGCGTTTTCTTGTCCAACCTTGCTTTTGTGTACAAACACCAACTCATAGTTTGTAAACTCCTTTGCCTTCTTACCTGTTGATTTGTTTTCCCTGTATATTGTTTGCTTGCTTATTTGATACTATTTCATTTTTGCCCCTTTTTTTTTATAGCAAACTTTATTAATTCTGTTCGTTGGACAGTTATATTATTTATTTTGCATTTTGACCATGATATCTAACTTAAAATCAAAATTTTGCTTCCAAAGCCCATTTCAACTAGTTTGCCTTCCCCAGTGACATACGATGGTCCAACATTTCATTATTGCATTCAAAGGACAGGCAAAATGAGAGACATTGTGCAGGCAATCAGAGATTTCCTGTGGTACAATCTGTTCCCAAGGCCCAAATTCAAAATCAACACAAGAGACTTCATTTTCTGATTTTCATTTCAACATCAGTTGCTTCAGTTTCTTTTATTGATTCTGAAATGTAGATCACATTAAATATCAGGTAATGAAAAGGTTCAAATTTAATGATGCCAATAATGTATATAGAAGCAAAATATATTATAAGGCAATCAAATGAAACAATAATTTGGAATTACTGTAAAAAGGATCATATTTAAGCACAAAACATTTGGAAATTCTCTTGTATTACTCTAAATTTTATAATTTATTTTATGGCCATGAGTTTTCCCTAGAATAAAATCCTAGTCAATAGAAATATTTATTTTTTTTACAATGATGTTCACATTATACAAGGCCCAGGAACCACTTGATGTAGAGGGTTACAGAGAAAGAGGCACAGTTTATTGATTTGGTTTGTTTAATAGCATATCAACATTGTATGGGTCATTTAATGCCAACATTTAATTTTCTTGGGAGCTTTGGTAATTTAAATATATTGCTGGTAATTTATCTCTTCCTTTTCCAGTAATGTATTGCTGGTAAATCTTTTTACTATGAAAATGTATTTTTATACTTTCATAATGTTTTGACCCCAGTGTTCACTATTTGCCCATAGCTGTGACCCTAACAGGTGCTACCACCTGGAGTCAGAGTGACCTAGGAACAACAACTATTAAAAGGTGTTTCCATGCTCCTCAAAACCTTTCAATCAAAGCCCTTGCTATCAGATGTAGTCTATTGTTATACCCAGGATGAACAGTTAATGGGTATATTTGTAGAAAATAATGGTTGACCCTAGACTTGAATAGGTTAAGATTGTAGTGATTGGAGAAGCATCCTCTTGGGAGTTGCTGCCACAAAAGAGCAGTTTGTGGGAACAAGCTGCTTGAATGGAACTTACAATAATATGAAGGGAATAAAGGTGGTTTGCTATAATATACGTGGCATGGTGGGTCTTGGCCATGAGGGTTAGAACTGGTGGAACTAAGGAATGTAGTTTGTCATCACTTTCCATGAAAATAGCGATAGGGTAGTGAGAGTCTTTGTTGGTAATGAGGTGAAATCTCAATTTGAAATGATTCATTGTGAATGAAAAGTTCCTTTTCAGCTGCTGTTGACTTTAATTTTAATGTTGAACTGAGTTTTTCAATTGGTACATTTTCTTGTGTATTGTTTCGATAGACAAATTTTGACCTGAATCCAGAAAGTAATAAACAATACTTGTTTCTTTTAGTAGCCATAGACTGTCCTGTGAAAGAAAGAGCTAATTAAGATGAAACTTTGCGATACACTATAATGTTACTTGCATTATTTACATTACTCAGACTGTTATCCTCATCTTTATTGCCATATTCACAACGTTTTGTCTGTTGTATGCTACGGCCTTCTTCAGAAGTCCGGAGTATACAATGGCCGAAACATTGTGAATATGGCAATAAAGATGAGGATAACAGTCAGAGTAATGTAAATAATGTAAGTAATCATAATACCTTATCTCAGAGATATAAACAGACACTAATATCTTTGTAAAATTCTTTTTTAATTATTTATTTGGAATTTTTCTTTTTTTATAGTTAGTGATAAGAAGTCTACACCTTCAATTACATCTCCACCAACTTCCAAACTTGTCAGTAAATTATTTCCTGTTCTCCAACCGAAAACAACCAAAGAAAATAAAGCCGAAGAGGTAAGTGGATTTACATCGAATTTCATTTTCTCTAATAATTACTTTTGTCTTTGACACCAATAGACAGTTACAATCAAGAAAAATTATTTGAAATTTTTGGATAAAGAATTGCTATTATTGCACAAATTATTCAGATTAAAATCATCAACCTTGTTTTTTCTTTTTTTTTTCATCTCTTCAGTTGGAATAATGCATCTTACAGGTCTTTTGACTGATATGTTCCCTTGCCTTCCTCATGCATTTGCTGTGTTCCATTGTCCTTGAGAGTTGTCTGGTATTTTCTTTTTATCTCTTCAGTTAGAATGACACATCTCACAGGTCTTGAGATAGCATTTCAACTGATATGTTGCCATGCTTTTCTCATGTATTTGTTATGTCTCATTGTCCTTTAGGGTGGTCTGGTAAATTTTTTTTATCTCCTCACTAGAACTGACACAGCTGGCAGTTCTCATGATTTCAGCTAATAAATTGTCTGGCCTTTAACAGGCAATCTATCTTGCACCTTTTATGACCCTATCATTTGTCCATGAATTGAATATTGTTACCACATTTGGTCTGGTGCTTCTCCTGTGTATCTATAGATTCATGATAATATTCAAAGAAAAATCTGCAACAATTGGTCTGGCATCTCAGCATCAGTCACTTTCCCTCTGCTGTAAAGTTGCTTCCCTGGGTCTTTTCTATAAATATTTTCATGGTAATTGTTCTGATAAACTTTCCTCTTTGGCACCTTGACTTCATGAATTTAAGTATAGTACTAAATTGTCTCATCATTTTACTGTTGAAATTGCTGAATGTAACTGCAAGTTCTATGCTAACATTTTCTTCTCTTGCACATCTCACTTCAGGAACTTTCATCTGACTTCTTGCTTTCCTATAAACTACAATCTTCAAAAATTTATATATAACATCAATTATTAAATTTTCTTCTTTTTATTGTCCTTTCTACTCAGTAATGTTTTCTCATTTTCTTTCACTCTCACTTGCTTCTTAGTGATTTTATCACTTTGCTTGGTGTGAAAGTATTAAAAAAAGAAAAGAGCAATAGTTTTATGATCTCTATAATACTTGCAGAAAGTAAATCCAAGTTGGTCAAAACATTTGACCATTTAATTTTAATTTTGGTATGACCATTTGTTGCTTTGTGTATGCATGACTAGAAAATTTGTTTAAGATTTGTTTCTTTTCCACAAAATTATGGGAAATTTAGATTTACTGGGTGCTTGGCTGAGTGGTTACACCATTAGTGTTTCAACCATGAGGCCAGGCTTTTAATTTCTCCATGCTTGATTTGATGTGGAGGTGACGTCTTGATAATATTGACCTGATGGAGACAATTTTAGCGTGCATTGCCATTGGGAAGGGCCTGAAAAGATATGTTCTGTTTTTTCTTTTGTTTCTCGATAATGTTATATTTTTACAAGAATGAAACCGTAATTTTTCTCATCCAGGCTCGCCAGTGTAAGCTGCAGGCAGTTTCACAGGTCCCTGTTGGAGATGGTGTACAGTCTAAACTGCTTCGGGAAAAGCTAACTCAGTTGGAAAAAGAGATTGCTCGCTTTCAGAAGGAAAATGCAAATCTGGAGAAACTTCACAAAGAAAGAGAAGAGGTAGTGCAGAATAATCTTGTGTAGAATTTTTATTTATTCATAATTAGAATCTTTCTCATCTTTTTGGCAGGGAGTGGAATAAACTTTAATCAAGAAGAGTGTATCAACTCAGAGTGTTTGGATAAAAAGCAACAATAATAAGATAGCATAAAACTGTGACACTGGTAAAATGGAAAAGGAAGGGTTAATTTAGAATACAACTTGAAACAGAGAGGGTTAAAAGCACAAGATAACATATAGTTTTATGTCCGTTTGCCTAAAAGTGCAAGTGACAAGACCATGTCTCATGATTACTAGCAAGAAAGAAGAGGTCAATTGAGTATAATATTTGATAATTTTGAGGACAAAGGCAGAATCAAGAGCTTATGCTTGTCTCTCAGCAAGCAGAAATGGCTTTGCCGACCTTGGACCTGAAAAAAGTGGAGAAATAGGATTTTATCCTGCATTGAAGAAATTCAGATAGTGAATGGACCTCTAAGGTTCATTGGTACTATTATTGAAAATTTAAAAAATAATTACAATTAATGACTAAAAGTTGAGACCGCCCTTCTGCCCATGCAGTTTAAAAGTTGGAATTGTTAAAGAAACATCTGAGGTAGCAAGCTTAGATGAGATACCAAAAGAGATGGAAAAATTATCTCCACCCATTTGGCAGTAATGTTGTGAGGCATAGATAAGAGATGGAATTAATTATACAAGCAGGCTATTACCTGCAATAGAAAAAGGGGATCTCCCAAATTTGGAGAGATAATTAATATTATAAACAAAACAACAAAGAACCTTTGTTTAAATCAATATAGAAATCTGGGAATTTCTAAAACACTGTCACCCCCTCTTCAATTTTGAATCAAAGTCAATATAAGTGGAGTGCTCAAGCAACCCAGGCAATTGGAGTTAGTTGTGGTTGTAGACAGAAGATGGCAAGAGATATAGATGTGGATGAAAGCATTGCTGAAGACCATATGACTTGCTGCCAAGAGAATTCCTGACCTTGAACCCTGTTCCAAGAATTCACACAGAAAGTCTCACTAAAGAGATTTTAGTTGGAAGGGTTAATTTTTTTTATACCAAGAACTACATAAAGCAAATTGAGAATTGACCCGAAGGCCTTTTTCATTTTTTATTTTGTCTGCAAAGATTTTCTATTTTTTCCCATCATAGCACAGGCTCACTGTGGTTTGAATCAGTGATACAATACTGACAATCACTCTCCACCAGGTTTGTGATCAAGAAACACAACGTAGGCAGAGCAAATTGTGAACCAAAGTGGATACTGACCAATGACCGTTGACCCACAACAGTATTGAACAATGTGGGATTGACCATGCAATCAATTCGTTGTCCTACAATCCTGAGAACAAAGACATCTTCATGGCATGTGGCAAGGATCAGAACATCTGGTCACTGCTGGCCAGGCTGACCCAGAATTGACTACCAGGTTAAGTGTTATAAAACTATTAATAAATGAATAGTAATAATGAAGAGTATATTGACTCGGAGTTTTTGAATAAAAAGCAACAATAAGAAGATGGAATAAAACTTGTAATAAAATAATAGTAATAATGAAGAGTGTATTGATCAGCACCTCCTTCAAATGTACATACACATATGCGCATATATATAATTAATGTGGAGAAACTTATTACTTAAGTGAGAGAGATGCCAACAATCCTGAAGAGTGAAAGCATTACTGCAATGCGCTCATGAAACTTCAAAGTCGGCATGACTGAACCAACACCACTCAGTTAAGTGATAAGGCTTTCCACATTAATTCTATTGATACTCTATCCTTACCTTTTGATATCGAGCACTTTATGGCAAAAATTGGGTGCCTAAAATGGTTTCCCACTAGTAAACTGCAGAAAAAGAACCAGCAATTTTGGTACCAAAAATCTCTTTATACTATATATATATATATATATATATATATATATATATATATGATGGACTCTCCTGTCGATTTTGATGTATGAGGATCTGACAATCTCATTCAGTTTTATGTCTGTATTGTATGTGACACTTCATTCCCACTTGAAACCTGCAAACATGTCCATATATCATGCAACAGCGAGGATCTTGGGACATAGCAACAGGGACATTTGCTGAGGCTTTTCACCATTGTCTTTCATCTCTTAGCCAGTCAATTTCGAAACTTCCAATATGACTCTGGCACAAGTATCTCCAGTTATTTCTCTCCAGAGCAATGTGGACCTAGTGTGTGTATATATATATATATATATATATATATATAATATATATAAAAGCAGCATATTTTGTTAACTTTCAGTTCTTTCCAAGATCATCTTCAGGAGTAAATTACAAAGACAAACTTATTGTAACTGCAATAGAATCTGCATTCCATTGCGATGGTGAAACTATAGCACCTTCCTTGATGAATTTCATCTTAACATTAAGAAACTTATTAAACAACTAACTAGAAAGGATCAGTATAAAATAAACAGACACAATATATCTATATTATTCAATGAAACACATATATATATATATATATATATATATATATATATATATATATATATATATATACAAAGATCAAATGCAGATTGGAATCTGATAGGATGATGAGATAAAGAACAAATAGGAAATATGGCATCATATCAATCTAACATGTTTCACTTTTATTAAAGCTTTGCCAGAGATTGACGATCAGAGATATAATTAGGAAGAAAAATAAACCGAACACCAATTAAAATGCCAGGATTTATCAAATAAATTGTTTACAATGCAAAAATGTTCATGTGAAGGAGACATCACTTGATCTAAAAACCTGTATCTATGAACACAAGAAAGATTTGCATTTAGACAAATGATCAAACTCTCTTGTATTGCATAGAAATGAGGCTGAACATAACTTTGATTTGATTAATGCCACCCTAATTGAAAAAGAATATAATTCTTTGAGGTGAAACTACTTGGAAAGCTTAATAATAACATTTATACCCAAAATAAACACACGCCTTAAATATTACATCGTCATCATTCTTTGAATCTATTCTTAAAGAATCTAACATATATCAATCTAATACAAAGAGTAAGAAAAGTCCCAGATTAAAGTGAAATGACACCCCACTGTGCCAGCTGACCGGACAAAGGTAAAGACATTAGAATTCCTCCAGCTAGACATATAGATTTGTCTATGGTTTTAATGCATGTGATATGTGACTGACTAATGAAAACTGACCCAAACTTGAAAATACCAAAGTTTATTTCTTTTCTCTCAATCTCTGGTGTAGCTTTCATAAAAGTGAAACGTTAGATTGTTATTCATTTCTTATTTGTTCTTTATCTTATTATATATATATATATATATATATATATATATATATATATATATATATATAATTTCTTGTAATCTTCATTGACATTTCATATAATGCCATATTTGTGGAACTTGGTAAACATTCCACCATTGTGAACAGTTGCAAGTGACTAAAGGCAATTTCATTCATTAAGTCTTTATTTATGATCCTATTTCTGTTTTCTTCTATCAGTGGGGGGCTGAAAATTTCTTTGGCATAACCAAAAAGGGATTTCCAAATATTTCTGATGTTTGGTCATTTTGTCTGGGTTTGTGACCTGGGATTTTGCCAAAAATAACATTTTCATTCAGCATTTCCTGGAGGTGATCACATATGACAAACATAGAATAAGCCTATTATTATGTTGATATGTTGTGATAAAAACAACATTGATGTAAGTCAGAAGAAATCCTTAAATCCTACTACCATTATTATTACTACTACTACTACTACTACTACTACTACTACTAACTGCATGTTATTTTGTTGTATCCTTAAAGAGGGTTACAAACAGACAAAAGTGTTACTCGAGTGAAAGGAAGAGCAACTTGGGTATAGATGAATGAAAGGGAGGTTTATTGTAAAAGAGAATAAACTACTGAAAGACAGGGAATCGGTTAGCAGGCTAGTAATTGCCGAAGCAAGTCCACAAGTATATCCTGAGCTCAGTATATATATCTACTGATATAGTCAGTCCACATAGGTGATAGGGAGTGTGGGACATTCCATTATAACATATTTCAAAATACAGAAATTAAAAATGATATGAACAATTTTTTTTTCTTTGCAGGGAGTAAAGAAACTGAGAAAAGAGATGTGTGAATTTGAGACAGCCAAAAAGGAAGAATTGCAGAAATTGCATGATTTCAAGGAAGAAGAAATGAAAAAATTAAGGTTTCATTTCTTTTATCTTAATTATTTTGGAGCAGTGATATTGAATATAAATTATTATTAATTTAAATAAAACATGTCAGTAACAAGTCACTTCCAAACAAAACCTGATTCTAAACAAGATTATTATTCATCTATATTTCTCAGATGAGGTGTTGCAACTATTTACGCTATTTACAATGTTCGGACTGTTGTCTTCATCTTTACTGTCATATATATGACGTTTCAACCATTGCACACTCCGGCCTTCAGGTGATATATGTTGAAATTTCAAACTGAACTCTTTATCTAGTCCACGTAGATTGTTAGATTAGTAGATTGTTCCAGTTCCACATGCCATTCCTCTTCTGGATATCTAAAAAAAAAAAAAAAATCATAAAATGATTTTATTGAAAGAGTTGGGAGTTCAATGAAGTGTTGAATTACTAAAAGGAATTAACTGAAAGTGAGATATCCAGAAAAGGGTATATGGGGATTACTGTTTTAATAAAAATTACAATCCTGAATCTCACCACCTATTAGGGTTACAGGGGTATATGTACTGCAGCTGTAGCAGCAGTAGTGTGTCTTGGGCAAGATAGCCTGAAAAGGCACACTCCTCTTCAGACTGGTTTGAATTCAGTTTCCAGTCTGTCCTGGTATTTACCCATAGCTGTAGGAAGACGAGATGGATTCATACCTTTCTCAAGTATACAAGTATCTTTTATGCAAGTGAATGTAACAAACTCAATTGGAATCTGATTTCTCATTCACTTACACCACTGCATATTTACTTAAATTGCCTTTTCGCAGGGTTCAAAATTGCATCCCACTTATATAGGGGAAACCACCATATAATCCCAGTGTGCTTTTTGACTGCTTAACCACAAAGGACTTAATAAAGATGCCTCCATAATAATCAATAAAATCAATGATTCTAAAAATTTAAAACAACTTCAGTACTTTTTTAATAATTTAATACAGAATATATTGCATTTAGTTAAACAGAAAGATCTCGTTACTTATTTTTTAACATTTGTATAATACTTGCAATAGCAATTCTAAGATGTTTTGTGGGATCTGTTATCTTCTAAACAATTGGCGGCAGTAAAAGGAATGATGGGAAGGTTCAATTCCTTTGGTTTATTAGAAAATCTTTCATTCCATAAACATTTCAGGTTGGACGCTGTATGAAGGTTTTCAACTATGGCTAGAGATTCAGCAGTTGACATACTGTGTACCATTCTATGTATTTTCTTGGATTTCCGCACTAAAAGATGACTTTTCATTATTTTCAATAAGGAATATGTCACGTATGTGATGCATGATAGTAGACTTAATGCCAGATCAGATATGTCACCAAGTTTAGAGAAAACAGCCACATGTCTCACTTTTTAAACTTTTAATGACTTTGTCAGTGTGAAGAATGCCTGTATAGAAGAAAATGACAACTTACCTTGTTGGCCAAAATGCTCTTGTGTTTCCAATTTATTTTCTTTAACCCATATGAAGTCATCATCATAATGTCAGAACAAGGCTGGATGTGTTTTGGATTATTTACATCCAAATTTCATTAACTCTTTACATTGAGATGCATCATTCAATCCATACACCTTTTTCTTTAGAAGCCATAGTTTTTTAATTCTCTTTCAGGTTAATATGATATTTGGTTTGCAAATTAAATTTTGTGAATTCAAAACAACTAGGTTTAAACTAAACTCAAACCTGCCTTATGTCCCAGAGAGCTTACTATGTCATGTAGTAACAACTCTTACTGTTTTGGTTATTGTCCTACTGTTACTGATTTTGTTTGGCCATTCTATATTTGTTGACTACATGATAGTAGATTTTAGAGCTTGGTTGGTTTTGCTTTGGTGATATTGAAAATCATCAAAGTAATATGTTGAGTCTTTCATGATCCAGCATATTACTTTGATGATTTTCAACATATCACTTTGAAGTAAGAGAGGTTCCCTGAATGAATTCTCATGATCTTCAGGATATCATATTGGATCTTTAATGGAATAAGATAGGAGTACTCTCTAAGTACTCCTCCTATCTATAAAACCAATGTCATAGATGCAGTATAATATTTGGGTATGTTTATATTTTTAAGTGTTTCTTCTCAGCAAATTCATTTCTTTTTTATAAATTTGATGGAAACTTTTAAATATTGTATTGATAGAATAAGTATTTTTTGACACATAGCTTCACCTTTTTTTTTTTTTTTATTACAATATTTTTAGTTGATATATTCTTTGGCTTTGAAATTCACCAGGGTTCAGGACAAACAGTAACTAATATAAAGATGTTGATCCAAAAAGAAATGAGTTTCTATGTGCTTGTTATGTGTTGTAGAGTAGTTTTCACAGTGGAGGCTTGTATTTCAATAAGTCGTCCTAAATTACGTTCGACGTACAAAACGTTAGGAACTTGAAATAAGAGTTAATGACGCAGCAATCTAGTTGTGATGGTTGATACTTCAATGTCTGACATCGACTGACTGACTCAACACCACTAAGCTCAACTGGCCACTGCTACTACTACTTATTATCTGTGGGAGAGTCTATTACAATAGAATAGGTATTATAGTATAACATTATGTCATGTAGCAAAATGCCTGTACCACTTTTGATATTAAAAACCATTGTAAGCAGAATTCTTTATTGTTATTGATAGTAAAAGTAAGAATTTACCAGCAATGAAAATGAATATGCTTACTTTGACAGAAAAACAGTTATAAAAATCTGAAATGCTTGCAAATTCTTTTTAATTTCTGTGCATTTTTTCATTCCATTTTATTTCCTTGCTGTTAACAATATTTTTCTACCATTTGTCATTTTATGCCATTTTATTTCCTTGCTGTTAACAATATTTTTCTACCATTTGTCATTTTATGCCATTTTATTGCATTGCTGTTAACAATATTTTTCTACCATTTGTCATTTTATGCCATTTCATTCCATTTTATTGCATTGTTGTTAACAATATTTTTTTATTTTACAACATTCCATTTTAAAATCAGAATTTACAACTGAAAATCAGAAATGAACGAAAAGTGTTTGAAAAGTACCACAAAGCGGTTCGATCACTTCCAAACAAAGAACAGCGACAAGAAATTGAAACACTCAAAACTCAGGTAAGAAAGAAAAATTCAAAATTGATGACGTACAATATTGTCCTACAGGACAATGGCCTAATGTATTAAAACATTAGTTTATGAATTTGGTAACATTGATTGTGAGTTCAATCCCTGGTCCAGAGAATATGTACTTGGACTCAGTGGAAAAGGGAAAGCAGTAAGTGAATAGCACTAAAAATAAAAACTATTTGACATCAGTGCAACGAGAACAATCTACCGATATAGATTATATAAAGGGTTCAGTTCAGAATTCCCTGTAATTTAGCCAGATTGATATACATCTGATGAAGGCTGGAGTGTACAACAGCCAAAACGTTGTTATAGCAACTACAAAGATGAGGACAATAGTGTAAATAATGATAAACTCCTCATCTCAGAAATTCTGACAAATGATGATACACTTGTTTCTCAATATATTTTTGACTTCTTTTTAAATTCTTTTGCATTTAATTTTTACAGGAAAATAGATTCTGTATTTGTTTTTTCCTTTTACTTCAGTGTACTTGAGAATTTATTTTTGCCCTATGTCTTTAAATATGTTTGCATTCATTTAACCATTGTTTTAAATAGTTAGCATTCACTGAGGCTTTATAAGAAATTCCTAGTCTTTTAAGTTTGTTTTTGCTGTTGGTTAATAATGACTTAGGATTTTAGAACATTTCCTGTTTATACTTTTTTGCCACTGATTAGCATTTAATTAAGCTTTTGTTTTTTAAATTTAGGTTTTTTTTTAATATGAGGATAGTGTTTACTTAAATATTTTTTAATTTACATTTGAAAACCTTTTTTTAAATTTTTTAACATTTACCCTCAGTGGGTATGCATAACTAATTGCTAACAGAGGGAGAAAGAAATGTAAATGAATTTTGAGGATGGAAAGGATAAATACAGAGGGGTAAAGAATTGAAAATTCTTAATCCCTTAGCATTCAATTAAAATTGTTCTTCCTATTTGTGTCCTTAGTTAACCTTTCACCTTAAATCTAATTGAATGTTAAATTGAATTCGAATTCCTTCTCTCTCTCTCTTAGTATTTAGTTTTCCTTTCTTAAAATTCAATTAGACTTTTTTCTCACTCTGTCATTATTTAATTATGCTTTTCCTCCTTAACATTCAATTAGACTTTTATTTCCATATGTTAGTATTTAGTTAAGTTTTCCCTTTTTAGCATTCAGTCAGACTTCTTTTCACTTCTGTATTTATTTATTCCTTCTCTTAACATTCAATTCGGATTTTTCTCCTTGTCTCTACAGTTATATTTTTCTTTTAAATCTGAATGGTGAATTAGATTTCTTTACGGTCAATGGTTTTATGCCTTCCTTAACATGCAATTATAATTCTTTCTTCCTCTCTATTTATACTTTGCTTCTTTCAACTGTCAAAATTCTTCCTCCTTCTATAGTGCTTCTTTTCTTCCTTAACATTCAGTTAGACTTCTTTCTCCTCCTATTAGTATTTTAGTTTGACTTCCTTCCTTAACATTCAGTTGAAAGTCTTTCTTCTGTTAGTATTTAGTTGTTTCCCTACTTAGCATTTAATTAGACTTCATCTTAATATTGCAGCTTCAACAACATGCAATTAGAATATTTTACCTATATTGAGTTATATTAGCATAACTCTTTAACATTCATCTAGATTTTGCTTTCTTAGCATTCAATTAAACTACTTTTTCTGTCTATATTTAATTATCCTTTCCCTCATTAACATTCAGTTAACATTCATTTCCACTCTATTATTAGTTTGTTTTCCTTCCTTAGCATTCACTTTCTTTCTATCTGTTAATATTTTGTTATAACTTCCTTCCTTAGCCAACTAATCACAATTCTTTCTGTTTTCAGTTATATCAGTTTCCACTTCTTAACATTCAATTTATCTTTTATTTCTATCTGTTAGCATTTAGTTCCAATTTCCTACCTTAACATTCAGTAAAAGTTCTTTCTATAATTGTTAGTAATTAGTTATGCTTTCTCTCATTAGTATTCAATTAGTTTTCTCCTTCCCCTTTGTATTATTTGCCCATTCCCTTTTAACATTGAATTAGGATTATTTCTCCATTTATCCTTATTTTTCTTTCTAAATTTAATCAAGTATTAAACTGAAGCTGTCTTCTTCCTCCATTGATATTTACTTTCACTTCCTTCCTTAACATTCAGTTGAAAGTCTTTCTTCCTCTGTTAGTATTTAGTTGTTTCCCTACTTAGCATTCAATTAAACTTCATCTTAATACTACAGCTTCAACAACATACAATTAGAATATTTTATCTATATTGAGTTATATTAGCATAACTCTTTAGCATTTACTTAGAATTCTACATTTTGCTTTCTTAGCATTCAGTTAAACTTCTTTTTCTAGGTTAGTATTTACTTATCCCCCCATTGTATTTAGTTTCTCATCCTTAACATTGAATAAGAATTCTTTCTCTCTCTGTTAATACTTTGTTACAGTTTCCATTTTTCCAGATATCTCATAGCCCTATATTTTTACTCTATGTTTCTGATACTTTATCGAAAGGAATTTAACTTTTTTTCTTCAGTTTGGTGAACTTCAAGAAGAGATGAGACGGAAAGAGGCAAGATGGAATTCCAATACAAATCGTTTACGGCAACGAATTCAAGATTTGGAAGATGAGAACAAACAGTTGAGAGACGAAGTACATTTTATGGAAAATAAACGGTTAGAATGGCTCCAAGAAAAGGAATCTTTGATTCAGGTATTTTCTTTTTAACATGTAATTTGTAGTTGTTCATCTTAAATGATGAATTAAACAACTTTAGGTTGTTTAACATGATTAGTTCCATTAGCAAAAGCAATGTCATTATTGTCATGAGAAAGTGCTTTCTCATTTGCTTCATAAATATTCACTTTTACTTGATCTTTAAACATGTATTTAGAATATGACTAAGAGTAACCATGAATATTTCACTATTTTGCTATTTAAATTTTCTGATGAATTTTCATTTTTAAGTTAATGATTAAATAAGCTTCTTATGACTTTCACAACTATAAAATACCAGTGGAACTTTAATATTGCAATATCAATTATAAACATGAATGCAGGTCATTATTTAAAGAAGTAAAAGATTAAAAATTGACTTGATTTTCTATTTCATTCATTTTCTCATTGAAACCAAACAGCATCTCTAATAAGACTTTTTTGTCTTTCCTAGCAATCAAAGCGAAATAGTCGATTATTTATGAGGTATTGGCAGGCTTAACATTTGAAGTAACTAAGGTACGAAAGAACTCAAAGAATTATGTTTTTCTTTACAGTACCTCTCTTTTTGTAGCTTGCAATTTCTCTTGCTGATTTCTGATATAGGTTTTGGTGGAGATAAAAATGATTTAGAAGGTGTGCAATGGAGAAGTCATCTCTAGCAGTGCATACCACTGCAGGGATAGTCTAATTAGTAAAGCCTCTTGGATGGCTTCTTATTTCTAATAGTGTCATGAAAAGGCCACAGTAATGATTAACAATTTTATTCACTCCAGATTGTAAACATCAGAATGTAATAAACCATCCAATACCTGCTCAATGAATTCAAATAATGTATTTATTTGCATATGTACAAGTGGTAATGTTCAATTTGAATATTTTTCTTGTTTTACACTAAATGTTTACTCAGTATAAGGCCCAAGAGCCACTCAAGGTCGGGTGATACTGAATGAGGTTGTTATATGGACATAAGAGAAAGAATTGAGTGCAGATTATGAGGATATGTACATTAGGTAATGGTTGATGCTAGACTTAAAGTTAAGATTTTAATGATTTGGGAAGCATCCTCCTGGGAGTCTGTCCCACAAAGTAGCAGTTCTCAAGAAGAAACTATCCACTGGAACTTCCTTCTTACTAATCATCTGCTCAGATATCTTCTGTTTGGGGATGACATTACTGTAGATGCTTGCACAGAGGTGGCCCTTCATATAGGAGGGGATGCTGAATAGTTCTCATCCTAACCAAGAAGGGATTTTCGAAAACATTCTGATATTTGGTCAGATTCTGGTGAGTTGATTAAGCTGAGAACTTTTCAGCACTCTCTCAGAGCCTCCTACTTTACAATGACTACAAAACTCTTTGGTTTGGAAGTCTCCACTGCCAAAAAAAACAACAAAGGTGGGAGCAGTCCAGGACTTCACCTAGGATTTGACATTAACTTGGACCAAAAAATAAACCCTTTCATCATCATCCAAACTTCAACTCCCTATGGTTGGGCAGAACTCCATTGACAATCCCTTTCCACACTGTTTGGTCCTGTATTACTGTCCTCAGATCCCCAATGTCCAACCCTGTGTCCTGAGGTATGGTGTCTGGGAAAGTCAATTTTCATGAGAAGACACTTCCACAAAGATGCTTAGGAGTAAGCATGAGACAATTTCCCTGTCTGCTCAGTGGCCAGCAAACTGTAATTGTTTTTGTTTGAGCTTAAGAGAGATTGGTCTCAGTTCTCCTTAAATTGTGTTGAGCATTGAATGGGATCTCCAACTGATGTCCTGGATTTTTCTAAGTAGATTTGTATATGTTCCATTCAGTTGTCTTTCAAAATAAATAGATAATGATAGGCTGTAAAAATTTATCTTGATCAGGAAGAATTTCAGAAAGGACCCCAAAAAAGTGTTTACAAAACCATCTTGCCATCAGTTCTTCTTTATAAATCCTGATTCATCATTGCTTCCTGGAATACTTCCCTCAACATTACTTCCACATCATTCTAAATTAACAATGGAGTGACTACCTCATGAACACTAAATTACTTAAGTCTTGGTTCATTTCAAGCTTCAATATCTTTTAGTAACTCCACTTTATGGCATACGTATGTGCATGTGTATATGCTGGACTCTCCCGTCGTATTTGACGTATGAGGGTCAAGCAACTCTCTTCCTAGGAACCAACAGCCAGACACCAGCACATATGTTGTGATTATAGTGGTGAAGGCTTTGTGCAGAACCAACCACACTTTTTGAAGTGCTGAATACGGAGACCTGGTGCACCACATGCCACAAGGTTCCCAAATGACCAGCAGGTTTTGAATTCAGAGTTGTTGTTCTCTTAGACCACTTGCCATCCAAGGCTATAGAACCCAGTCTGTCCTACTATTTACCCATAGATGAAGGGAGAAGAAGAGGATTCATTCATACGTACACACACACACACACACACACACATATATATGTACACACACACACACACATATGATGTATATATATATATATATATATATATATATATATATATATATATATATATATATTTATATACACCATAATTTGTCTATTTTCCTAAACACATCACATACACTAAATATTATCTGTTCTAATATGTATGGATGTATAAATGATAAAAAAAACTTCATAAAAAGCCCTTCATATCAAAAGATGCCAAACTACTATCAATAAAATTTATTTCAATCTGGGTGAGCATATATTGAAATGCCTTTGAACTGTATACAATTGTCAAATCAGAATGACATATATCATATTTATATTACTTCAAAGGTCCAAAGAAAATTAAATTTTGGTATTAAATAACCCATTAAACTGGCAAATCAATCAATGATTGCACAGTGATTCTTTTTAACAATTCAAATTCTAGTAATAAAACAATTTCATTAAAAATCCATTTTCATGCAATTAACAAAATTGTTTAGTTTGATTCTGAAGTTGCTTGCAATCTTTAACATTTTAGTCTTTAATGAGCACATATTAAAATTTGTTAGTAACTTTTCAGTGCAATGAACCATTTTGATGAAATCTATTTATTGGTTTGTCTTTTCTAATGTTTTTGAATTGAACACTGATTGGTGAATATCATTCAAACTAAACTGCCCACAAAATTATATGTTTTTTTTCTTTTTGGTTTTACAACAGAATCAGAAGAAATTGGCTCTGAAGAATAACAAGCCTCAGACTAAAAATGTCTTAACATCAAATTCTGTAAATTCTGACCAAGACTCTGGTGAGTTTTCAACATTTTCTCCAATATTTTTCTTAATCTAAAATTTCTCAGATTTTCCTCTTGGAAAACTTGTAAACCAAAGAGACAAAACAATCTTGTCTTTAAATTTCTGAAGACATAAGGACTCCCATATATTTCCATATATAATGCAACCTTTAGATGAGATGAGGTAAAAAAAAAATGGAAAATTTTAATGAATTTATCCTATACCTGTAGTATAAGATGACTTATTGATTATATAAAGATGTTATTGGAAATGTTGTTATTTACTGTATCCTTAGAAATTCAAAATAAATGAAATAACAAAACTGATTCTATATCATGTTTTTTCTACACATACCCTAAAAGGGAAACCATTGTTTTGTTTATGTTTCATCACATGATCTCTTGTGAATACTGATTCTTCTTCTTCTACCTCTTCTTTTCCTATATCTAAACAGTTACAAACATCCTGGTGTACTAATGGCCATTTACTTATACTTCATTGGCTATCAGAAAATACTGTTAATGACAGTATGATAATAGTACTTTCCACTTACAACATTTTTTTTTTTTTTTGATGTTTACATTTTCTGAGCTAAGCTCAGCTTACATGGATACAAGTTGATTCCATTGATATGGAATTATTCTTTGAATAGGCAATTTATTATGAAGTTATGCCAGTAATATATATGGTCGAAATGGTTTTATTACTTTCGTTATCAGTTTATTTGGTGATGTCAATCTTTTCATGTACATTATTGGTTTTCGCACCAAGGTTGAAGTTAGCCTACCAACAAACATCACTCAGAATTTAAGGTTTCTTTTTTCGTAGTCGTAGTATAAGATGACTCCTAATTTTTTTTTAATTTTTAAGGGTGATTTTTGGAATTTAAAGGTCACCTTACATGTGGAAATATGTAGTATTTGTCAATATATTTAAAAATGATACTTACCAGTTCATGTAGATGTCACTGTGCCAGAAAACATATTCTTTAAAAGAATTTTTAAATGTGCATTCAACTATACAGAGAACATAGCTTTTTTTTTTTTTTTTTTTTTTGAAAATAAAAATCATCTATGCATTTTATGTAGATAGGGGAGGGAGGTCTTCAATTCTGAAATAGGATACTAGGGATGAAGGGATAGTGGTTGAAGGAGAGATATAACTATCTTGTATTTTTTCTCTCTTAGAGTCAAGGAATGGTTATATGAATCTTGGACTGTTGACTCTTCACTTGGGACAATATGGTCATAAGCTGTTTGAAAAAAAGCGCATACTTGTAAAACTGTTCCAGGTCACCTTTGTGCAAGATGGAGTTCCTATCATCCTCTTTAATATCATCCTTTAGTGTTACAACAGCTTAAAATCCTAAATATTTGATCAAACTAGGGAATAAGATTAAAGCCGATGAAAATTTATTTAGATCTGATATTAAATGACGATGATTAAGTTAATTTAATAAGTTTAGCTTTGTTCGGTTTCAAGCTGAGAGAAAGAAAGAAAGGGAGAGAGTAGGTGCATTTTTTTATGTTGAAGCTAGCATAACTTTGGAGTCAACATTTAAAATCCTGGCTTTTACCTGGGCTTGAATACTAACTGTTAAAAAATATGTAACAAATTTGGCAACAAGAACAGGCACATTAAGTAACTACAATATAAGTTTTTAAAGTGCAAAAAAGTAGATTCATTTATTTTAATAAATATCCAGCAATGAGACTTGCTGTTACCTAACTTTTATGATCATTCTTATGAAAATATATTTGTAATTTATAGAAGTTAAAAAGATGCATGTTTGTGTTTATTTTATGGTGTGGTATGTGTTCTCATGTAAATAAAGAAGGATAAAAAAACTTGGGTTTCTACCATGAACTGTTTATTCTTTATTTTTTATATAAACTGTAGTGAAACAAAGTTCTTAATATCTCCTGGATATGTTCATTTTCCTTGTGGTCAAGGAGTTAGGGTAAGTAAGTACAAGCATTGTATTAATGGTTGAGCTGAAGTCAGCTTTGTGCAGAGTTGGAACAACCAAAGGAAGATTTGTACTTACTTTATTGTTGGAAGGTTTAAACATGGTTATAGGATTTTTCTATTTTCTTTTTCTTTGTCTGGAATTTAGGGTATGTATTTATAAGCATCATTACAATGGTCATCCTCAAGTCAGCCTTGTGCTGAGTTGGAACAACCAAAGAGAAAGGTTGATTTACTTCATAGGTGGAGTTTTTGGAAGATGTGTGAGCACCATGAATTGGAAAGTGAAAAGAAAGTTCAGTTGTTATTTGACCGGAAAAACTAACGTTCCTCTGTGAGAACATAATTATTGTGTGGTTTTATATCTTGGAGCAAGAAGGATAAGAGTAAGGAGGAAAATGTTTTATATTTTTATAGACTTAACTAGCACTGTTTAACAGTGTTTAGCACCAAATCAAGGAATCATATTTCCAGTTCCTTTACCCTTAGTATCATGGGGAAAATATATTTCTTTTTTATTATTATTATTACTTTTAGGGAGGTATGGTAGAATAATGGACAGTGGCTTGGATTGAGGAATTGGAGGGCAGAGTTTGAATTCCAGTTCATTGCATTCACTTATGGGAAAGGTACGAATACATCTTCTCCCTCTAGCTATGGATAAATAGTAGGACAGACTGGGTTCTATAGCCTTGGGTAGCAACGAATCTAGCAGAAGGAAAACTGAATTTGAAACTATGTAGCCATGACAAAGCACATACTATGCAGCTAAGGAAAAGATTGTTCACAGTGAACTACGGTTGGCTCCTTTTTTTTATTATTTTTTATTTATTGATTTTAGTACATTTCCTCACAAATTCTTTGTGTGCAACTTGTCTTTAACAGAAACTTTTAATATAAATTCATGCAAAGGCTGTGATGCAAGAATTGTTTTTGATGAAAGTTTTTCATTTCTTGCATTCCTAGTGTGGTCAGCTACAGGAAAAGACTGTTTTTATCTATATTGACAAAATGGAAGTAAATTGAAGTGCAGTCAATGAAATGATAATAAGTTTTGTTCTTTTTGCAGATAGTGGACAAAATGAAATCAAAGTGCATCAGATGTTTATGGCTTCCCCTGCTGGTGATTATCGCTTTGTTGGTGGAGGGAAGAAAAAAGAGCAGTTTGAGCGTGGAAAAGTTGTGAGGACATCTTCTGAAGCCATGCCCAGGCAAGCAAGTGCAGTGCTGGCCACACCCCAAGAGTAAGCTGCCATTTAGTGTTACTCTTACTTTTATAATCATTACAGTCACTTTGATTCCTCCCACTCTTCTTGAGTTTTTTAACAAGTGGAAAAAAAAAGTTTTGTTGGTAATGAGGTTTAGCTTTGTAAATGTTTGAAAGCATCACCTTTATAAGATTTCAACAATCTGATCTGTTATGAATGTTTGGCTAAAACCTTGACTTTGTTGGGAAAATTCATAAACCAGTCTGCTTGATTGTTTTTTTGTTTTTTTTCAGATTGAATAATGGCAATAGTGACATGCGAATGGAGTTGAATCGTAACCCACCACAGCGAAGAAAAAATCTGAATGTGTTAAAACACTCTCCAATCATCAAGGGAGATGTGATTGAAGAACTACAACATCCGGACGGAAAGGTAATTATGGGTTTTGATATATGTATGGTTGTACGCATTGAAGTATGCATAGTTTATCATGGAAGCAGTTGGTGCATTTATTTATTAGTCCTCACAGACTGAAAAAATACAAGTGTTGCTACATGAAGTAGCAAGCTCCCATAGTAATTAGATATGAATTTAAATCTGATCTGAAGCTGATATTTGGTTCTTTTACTTCCCAAAATCAAGTAAATTACACAAAAATATTTAGTAGAAATGCTCTAAAATTTAACTATAGCTGTACTAAAAACGTAATACAAATCATGAAGAATCACAGCAGAAAATCACAAGTATACTACAAATACTCACTACACCCACCTTTAACTGCAGATCAAAGTATGAGTGTCCACTAAACAGTAACTGCCTACAAAATAATGTAATTTACAAAGCTATGGTAATATCCAAAGAAAACCCAGAAAAAATATATATAGGGCTAACAGAAAGTCCTTGGAAACTGATGCTACTCTAACAAAATATATTTTAGGAACAGAAAATATGCAACCAGCACAACCCTATCAATGCCTATATGGCAACTGAAAAACACAAACCCCAAACACACCAAAAACATGAAGAATAAGAAAAACAGTGCCAGCTTACAACAAAACCTCAAAACATTGTGACCTTAGCTCAGAAGAGTAAATAGTAATAATTACATTTCCAGAACAAGTTAAACACTTAAATGATTACAGGAAAACAAATTCCTTTTATACTACCTAAAACTATATCATGACCAAAAACACCAAATAAAATTCTATGATTTAATAAACTTTTTCTAAATACCAAAACTTGAGCAAAAGAAATGTATATAAAACAAGAAATGAAGAATGTGCCAGACAATTTTTCTGGTCAAAATCCATCTTGGCACATTTATAAATCTACCATTCATCTGTACATTGAGTATTGCTGCCATATCTGGCGTTTTCTAAAGCTCAAGATTCTTGATAAAATCCAAAGAGTCTGTAATGCAGTTGATCCTGACCTGGCACCTCAATAGAAAAATAACCAACAAATCATTGACACAAACAAAACCTACATGTAACTGCAGAGCAAAGCATGAATCTGCCTTAAATGTCAATTGCCTGCAAAGCAATATGATATACCAAGCCACTGTAAGGTAAGTAGGTAACAAAGAAAAAATATACATAGGACTTACTGAAGAAACCGGGAAAAAAGAAATTACACACACAAAACATCCTTCACCAATGGTAAATATGCATACAGCACAACCCTTTCAAAACATATACAAGAAACTAAAAACAAAATACACCAAACATATCAAAGAAAATAAGGAAAAACAGCACTAGCTTATAACAAAAACTTATCTTAAAACACAGACTTAAAAACAAATTTTTACTATATTACTTAAAAATTGGAAATTAAAAATGAACACCTTGTAAAACATCACCAAGAAAAATGCAAATATATGCACTATATACACAGCAAATAATGTAATGTACTTTAAACAAAGCAAATATTTTAAATTAAATAAATAAGACAGCCAATGCCCAAAAAGAATTAAAAAAATTAAGTAAATAACCAAATTAACAAACTATAAAAATGCATGCATAACCACAACTAAGCAAACTTAATAACAATCGAAAGCAAATAATGAATAAATACAGAATACATTAAGTAACTGACAACAAATAATGAGCGAAAAGCAAATAAACAGCTTTGTACAATAGCTATAACTGCATTCTGACTGGCCCATAATTATTTCTACTCAATATCCTTCTGAATAATTTAAAGTATAACCATTCCTGCCTATCCAATAACTGTTAGAATTACATAATAAACCAGAAATACCTGACCTTGCTACCCATAATGCCCCATGATCAGCATACATAAGCAGTTAAGTCAACATGAAACACACGGGGTCTGAAGATTGCATTCAAGCATGAAACAAACTGTCCACTCTTATATAGCTTTCAGAGTTCAGTATTTCCATGTATATCCTCTATCGTACTTATAACTGGTCAATTTGAAATATGATTTCCTTCTGGCATGGCGTCTGCTTTCTTGATTGAACGTAAATGCAGTATAGTGGTTATTAAATAGAGAAAGTGGGATTGACATGCCAACTTCAAATTCCTGGTAAAGCCATTGTGTTTGCTTTCACACAAATTCCTTTGAAAGGGTAATGAATTCATCTTTTTTAACACCAGCTAGGGATTAAATAGAAGGGTAGACTGGGCTCTCTAGCTTTGGTTGTCGAACAGTGTAAGAAAAGAACAATTCTGAATTCAGAACTAGTTTGGCATGGAGCTAGCCACTCCACTTCATGGAAACCCAAAAGAAATGGTGATGCCAAGAACCATTACTTCACAAGGGGATCTGCAGTGGTGAGGCTGTGGCCAGGTACTCTACAAGAGCATATACATTTATGTTGATTATGTCTTTTGTTTTGATCCAATTACTGATTTCTTGTCATTTATAGACTGAAAGAAGATACCAGAGCGGAGCAAGAGAAGTTGTCTTTTCCAATGGGACCAGGAAAGAAATGTCCTCAGATGGGAGATACATAATCCTTTGGTTCTTCAATGGAGACGTTAAGCAAATCACAGAAGATCAAACAGTGGTAAGAATTGTTAAATTGGATATTTTAAGAATAAAAAAATAACTTAAAAGCTTTGTGAAAAATCTAAAACTCTCCAAAACTAATTTGAAATTATGATATCAAATAGACTTAACACATTTTACCTCATTGATACAGTTCACCAGTACAACACTCTGCTGTCTACATTATTTACATGCGGACTGTTGTCCTCATCTTTGTTGTTGTTATCACAATATTTCAGCGATTATGTCTTCTCTGACCTTCAAGTGTATGTTGATCCAAGAAACCTACAGGGAATTTCAAACTAACCCTTTATTTAATCTACAGGGTTAGACTGTTCTTTCCACTTCTTATGTCTAGGGATATCTCATCTTGTTCTTATTTTAGTACTGCTTAGTTATTGCTCACTCTGTTACCCCTGAGTCCAATTATAGACTGCCTGGCCCAGGGATTGAACTTGCAATTACTATGTCCCCAAATCCATGAATCAATCTTTAATCCACTAGGCTATTGTCGTATGAGTTCAATGCTTGGGCTGGCGGTGGAAACAGATTGGGTAGTAATAACTGAGCAGTTCTAAAAATAAGAACTACTGTATATACTTGTGGATAGGTTGCACTTTTTTTACCAAAATTTTCACAAAATATAAGCAGTGAAACCTATCCACTTGACATAAATGTAAAACAACACTATCTTGTCACCATGATTTCTGAGAAATCGGAAATGATTCCCATAGAAACAAAAAGCTGTGGTTTTTGTCTGTATAGAAACAATTTATCTATCATATATACTGATTCACTGCTTTAAACTTACCTCATGCTACTAGATTCACATATCCATCACAATAAATAAATAAAATTATAAAATATTCATTTATCCATCAGTCACTGTTTGGTCAGGACCCTCGCACTAGACTGATATAGAAACCCTAAACATGCATACATAAGTTAAGGAACCACATGTAGATGTTTATTGACAAAGAAAAAATAGTCCCATGATTCCTTCCACAAAATATATTTTGTCAAAAATATGCTGGAAAATATGACTAAAATAAATGAAATATATTCTTTATGAGATAATTTTATGTAATGGCTGTTTCATATAACATTAAAAGGCATTCTTAAGTGTTATTTACAAATAACAAAGCACATGAATCTAGTACCAAAAACGTTTGCTTTGCATTGTGAAATGATACAGTTGGTAGCCAAATTTGTAGTTTATAATTTTATTTGTTAATTGTTAAGGCAGATATATGATAATTCTTACATTTAAAAAGGGCTGTGTAACTCCCCAGATTATAGTGCGACCTATCTGCGAGTGAACAGTTAGTCATCAATTATTAAGCCATAAAGTATATATGATAGATGAAATATCCCTCCATACGGACAGTGGAATGAGAACAGTCTACATCTGTAGAATAAATAAAGGGTTCAGTTTGGAATTCCCTGATGGTTATCCAGATTGATATGCACCTGATGAAGGCCAGAGGGCACTATGGTTGAAACGCTGTGATAAAAACAACAAAAACAAGGACAATAATCAGAAGGTAAATAGTGTAAATATTGCAAAAAGTAATTGGCACAATTTTAATTAACATTTTTATCTAAAATTAACATTCACTAACAAAATTTTAGGGCATATTTCAAATTATTATGTAGGTAAAATAAAGCAAGTATACATTTAAAATATACATGTATATATTTCAGTTTCATTTTACACAAATGTCACAAAGTGAAAAATCTGATCACATTAAAATGATCATTAAGAAAAGCATTAATAAAAAAAGGCATTTAAAAAGTATTTAAAAAAAAAAAAATTTTTTTTTTTTTTTGTTCCATTGCTTGTGTCTAGGGATATCTTGTCTAGTTATTATTTTAGTACTGCTCAGTTATTGCTCACTCCATTTCTGCTGAGTTCAAGTGCAGTCTAGGCCAGGATTGAACTCCCAATCAATATGCACATCTAATAAAAGCCAGAGAGCACAAGGTCAAAACACTGTGACAACAACAACAACAAAAATGAGGACAATAGTCTGCATGTAAATAATGTATATAATGAAAACTCCTCATTGCAGGAATTTAGACAGAAACTCTGCAGTCTGTCAAACTAGTAAGATTATGTAGCTGAATTTTAGAGTTTTTAAAATAATTTGAAACATAGTATTTAGTGTAGTACCACTAAGTACCCTTAGAAATAGGGCAGAATTAATGTCTATACCCTTCATATTTCTCTGAAAATTTCAAAAGATTTTGAATTCATGAGATTAAAAAGCTGATAAAGCGTTATTTTTTTCTTTACAATAATGTTCACCCTGTACAATGCCCAAGAGCCATTTGAGGTAGAGGGTTACAGAGTAAAAGGCACAGTTTATCGGGATATGTGGGAGAAAAGAGCGGTTAACCCTAGACTTGAGCAGGTTAAGATTGTAGTGTTTAGGAAAACCTCCCCTTGAGAGTTGGTTCCACAAAGCATCAGTTCCTGGAAATAAGCTACTCAAGTGGAACTTAATCTCACCAGTAGAATACGAATGGAATGAGGGTGATTCACTACAATGTGTGTGGCATGGTGGGGCTTAGAACTGGTGGAAGTAAGGAATGTCGTTCATCTGAACACTTTCCATGGAAATAGTGATAGAGTAACAAGAGGCTTGCAAATTTATGTCTGTGGGAAAGATGCTGTAGAGTGGAAAATAATTTGTCACCCACAAGAACATGGAGGCACTTTTGGACACTATTCATATATGGCAGCAGTACTCCATTTTTAACCTGATCTGGCTCTAGTAAAGGTAGTGGGTAGCAAGAAGAGTCAGATATTTACTGGAGTGGTGCAAGGAACCAACCATTTTTCTATTTATCATTGTATAAAGTGATGATCTACCTGCTGTCAAGATTGGCATACCAATTAAAATTGTACATTGAAGTAGAATAAGACAGTCTTTGAAGAGTTACTTTGTACTAGCCATTTACAGTTCTTCCCTGAAATAGTGGAATTTGCTCAAACTGTCCAGTTTTTTTACAGTGAGATTCACCCTGTAGAAGGCCCGGGGGACACTTGAACTAGAGGGTTACATTAAGAGGCAATTAATATGGATAGGAGGGGAAGATAACAATTAACCCTAGACAGGTTAAGATTGTAGTGATTGGGGGAACATCCTCTTGAGAGTTAGTTTCAAAGAGTGAGAAGAAGCTGTTTGAGTGGAACTACTTAGTGATGGAATATGGAGGGAATGTTGGTGAATGACATAGCTGTGACTGTTAGAACTGGTAGAACCAAGGAATGTCGTTTGTCCGAGCACTTTCCCTTCAAGTAGTGATAAAGCAGTAAGAGGCTTGCCATATCCCACCTGTGTGAGAGGTTGGCAGGTGGAGAATAATTTGTCACCTGCAAGGACTCCGAGATGCTTTTGAGCTCGATCGAGTTTAGAAAGTGAGGACTGGGCAATTCCCATCCAAATATGACAACAGTACTCCATTCCCAGCCTGATCTGGCTCTCGTGAATGTAGAAAATAGCATCAGGAGTCAGGTACTTACTGGAGGGGTACAGGGAGCCAACCATTCTACTTGCATCTTTAGCAAGGGATCATATGTACATGTTCTATTTGAGGTCAGGTGTGATGTCCTAATAGTCTCTTATGGAGCCTCTGTGAGGGGACAGCCATTCATTGTTACTGGTGGTAGTTCGGGATCCAATAAGTAATGGAATGTAACTAGTTTGGTTTTCAAGATGTTGAATGTAACCAGCCCATCTTTTTGGCATATAGATGTTTTCTCCATAAAAAGTGAACTTAGCTTGATAGTTGCAGACAAGCAAGGAAATTCATGATGAGCAGATTTTATTGTTTTCATTTTTGCTCCTCAGTTTTTATGTCTTCAGCACAAGACCTGTTGAATTACTTCCTGTAGTCTTTTATATAAAGGAATGTGTGTATCACAGTTTGCTTAAAGAGATGAACAGAGAGCTGTCTTGTTCTTAGGCTCCAAATGACACCAACAGGATTTGCAAACTGATATGCAGTACCCTACATCTGAAAACATATCCATAAAAAAAAGATACAGTTGCATCCACTGGTGGCATCATGTTGTATTCTACTGGAGCTTGTTAACCATTACTCTATGGCAAGGACATATTTACTTTATTTAGTCTGGCACAGTGTCCAGAATAAGAGGTCACCCAGTAAAGTTTAAATTCTGTACACTTAAAATGTTCAAGATAAGTCGTTTAGTTTAGAATATTGATATGTTGTTTGAGATAGTTGATGTCATCTTGATAAAAACCAATGATTTTTCTAAGATGAAAGTCATTAACCATTTTGACTGTACACTCATTTTAAAAATGAAGTTGGTTGTTAAAATAAGAATGTGTGTCTGGTTTTTCTGTGACAAAACAAATTAAGTTTTTGGCTGACATATTTCGTGTAGCATTTTTGGAATGATAGGGTGGCAAATCTGGAAAGTTGTGGGAAGTCATGATGATCTACATCCTGAAGAGACATAGCACGTAGAGGGGGGAGGGTCTGTTTTTTGATTTTTTTTGTATGAAGGATTCTGACATTTTGATGCAAAGTGTTGTTTAACTCTTTGCTTTTTTTGTCTTGTTTCACAGGTTTATTATTATGCTGAGTCGCAGACAACTGTAACAACCTACGCAGATGGTCTGGAGGTGCTGGAATTCCTAAAGTTGGTTCAATTATTATTGGTCAGAAATTGCAAGAATTTTACTTTCATTCTGCTACATATTTTCTGAATTTCACAAAACAAACAGTTCCTGATATGGTGGTGGAAGGGGGCTAGAATATGCAGACTGTACCCTCTGCAGAGGAGTAAAATTTATCTCACCACCACTTATATATATATATATATATATAGGAGAAATTGTATGACAGTGGAAAAAGTTTACTTGTGACGCGTTTATTCCTTCAGGACTTCATCATTGGACTAAATTTGTTATGTTGGTATGACATATGCGCACAACAGAGTGGTGTTGGGAATTTTTTTTTTTTTATCTGGCCAAATTTATTTAGAGTCTTTTTCTTCCATCACTTTTGTTAGTAGGTATTCCACACACTGACATAAAAAATATTACTCTGAGGAGAAAAGGAGAAAAATAATTCACAATGATGTAAATGTTATTCTGATAAGAAAAAAACTTCTGAATTTGCTGGTGAGGGCATCAAGCCCAACACGGAGGCCTACATAAAGAGCCTTGAGGAGGTAGTGCTGCCTTGGGTCAGGAAGACACTATGTCTGGCAACAGGACTGCACCATGACATACAAACAGGAGAACCCAGTCAGGGATGTCAGACAATTTGTGCAACCATATCACCCCTTACATCTCGCCACCTAACTCCCCAGACTGCAACCCTCTTGATTATTATTTGTATGGCACAGTTGAGCAAGAGACCAACAAAACTCCTTGTAATACCAAAGATGAAGTGAAGGCAAGGATTATGGCAGCATTCACTAACTTAAACAAAGAGACTGTCCAGAAGAGTTTCAGGAGATTCCAAAGTCATCTGGCGGCTGTTGTTGAAGCCAATGGTGATTTTATTGAATAAATTCACTCCTTAGAATTTCAAGATATTTTTGTGTAATTTTGGTAACTATATCTGTTAAAATGAGATGTCAGTGTTATTTTCATTTTTGCATAAATTTGGACGACTATTTATTCATTGCATCCTCTGTGTGTGTATATATATATATATATATATATATATATATATATATAATCAGATTAGACTTCAGTTACATGATAATAATTTTAACATAAACCCAAGTTCTCAAGATGAGATTAATAACAATGCCATTAACATATTATACAGAATTCAAATGCACCACAGTTACAAACAAGATGAAATCTCAATAAAAAAGATAATACATCAACATATTAAACCTGTTGATAAAAATAAGTGCCTAAGATTTATCACTTGTCAAAATGTTTCATTCTTCTATTTTGAAATATTTTACATGAATTTTGTTTTGCGTTGAATATCAAATAAGTAGGGTATTGGAGGAGTTGAGAAGTATTTTCAATGTATTTCTCCTCTTCATGTAAATATTGAAGCCTACAAATTCTGAGTGCTCTTAACTAGAATCTGATGATTATTCTGGATTTAATTTTGTTGTTAGGCTGAGAATAAACCCAACTTATCTACTGTTATAAAAAATTTAAAACAAGTAACTTAATCATCATAAGACTAATGTTGTTTATGAATTTATTTGTCCAATTAGACAGCGCATCTTTGTAAATAATAAAAAAATTATGTTATACATATATAGGTTATAAAATAACCCCTCTTTCATGTAGGCTCACATGCCATCTAACTGAACCAAATGGCATGTGAGATTAGACAACATATTAACAAACCCCACAAGAATGATAATAACATCAGAGGGTTCCGCTAACAATACTAAAATACTTCATAAATCTAATTGTAAAGAAAGGCTAAACATAATTGAAGCTATTTACATTCAATGAAAGCAACCATCCATTCATGAAAATAATCCCATATTCTTCAATGAATATTAAAAAAAAAAAAGAAAGAAGTGCAAGTGACTGATACATGTTGCCATTTCATACTCACACATACAGGGTGTAATGGATAAATTGTCATGTAAATGATGCAAAAATGACACTGACATCTCATTTTAACAGATATAGTTACCAAAATTACACAAAAATATCTTGAAATTCTAAGAAGAAAATTTATTCAATAAAATCACCATTGGCTTCAACCACAGCCTCCAGATGACTTTGGAATCTCCTGAAACTCTTCTGGACAGTCTCTTTGTTTAAGTTAGTGAATGCTGCCATAATCCTTGCCTTCACTTCATCTTTGGTATTACAAGGAGTTTTGTTGGTCTCTTGCTCAACTGTGCCATACAGGTAATAATCAAGAGGGTTGCAGTCTGGGGAGTTAGGTGGCGAGATGTAAGGGGTGATATGGTTCCACAAATTGTCTGACAGCCCTGACTTGGTTATCCTGCTTGTGCGGCATGGTGTTGAGTCTTATTGCCAGACATAGGATCTTCCAGCAGCCACCCTCTTGACTCAGGGCAGCACTACCTCATCAAAGCACTTGATCTAGGCCTCTGTGTTGAGTCTGAAACCCTGTAGGAAAATGAATGAAGTTATTTTCTTATCAGAACAATCAGAGTAAGTTTTCTGAGCTGCTGTACCTTCGTAATCACCATTAGACTCATCCAACTCTTTTCACATCCTCTGCACAATCTTCAGATTGACACCCTAACATTCTGAAATGTTCATATTGGTTCTTCCAGAGTAGATGCCAAGCAGTACTGCATGCCATTTCCAAATATCTGGCAGAGTGAATTGCATCATGGTGCTCTTTTTCTCATATATGGTGCCCAACTGACCCTACTATACTGTGCAATCAACAAAATTCAAAAACAAACAAAAACACATGCATGAAATTAAAAATATAAAATGGCGACAATTTACTCATCGCACCCTGTGTATCAAGTGGTGGAATTGTCATAGATATGGATCCCTCCAATGAAGAAATAAAACTTTGACTCATTAATGCAGACATTGATGAAAAGAATCAGTTACCATAAAATAATTTCCAAAATTTAAAAAATCAATTAGAAAGTTAATAATGAGAACAAAACATAGTCAAAATTAATCGAATATGACCCTAAAATACCCAAACTTTATGGTTTACAAGTAATGCATAAAGCAGGCATTCCAATGTGATCCATCATATATGGGTTTGAAAATGTTCCCTGTAGACTAGCAGTAGCTATAGAAAAAGTTTTAACCCAACTTAGAACAATTAGCCCTTTACATATTAATTCCAATACCCTTCTCGAAAGACAAAAATAATTGTGAAATATAAACTCATGGCTAGCTTAGATATTAAATCCTTGTACACTCAGTCAATCAGCTATGTGCCATGCATGATACATGCTTAGGCAATCATGTATCTTTTGATACATGACTGACATGGCATATTTTTTTCCCACAGTAGGTTGCTATTTATTTCTATGGTAGACCAGTTGCCATCCAAGGTTATAGAGCCAGGTTTGTCCTGCTATTTAACCATAGCTGGGAGGAGAAGAGGATTCATACCTTTCCCAAGGGTATTAGCACATAAGTGAATGTAAAGGATTCAACTGGAATTTGAACTCGGCTCTCAGATTCCTCAATCTGAACCACTATCCATTACTCCACCGTGCCTCTGCCTTGTACAATAATATACCCATTAACAAATGTTTAAATGTCATAAATGTTTTGTAAAATCAAAAATTCATCTCACCCTGCCAACAGAAAAAAATTCTTAGCATTTGTTGACTTATTGCAAACCAATTATACTTCACTCAATAGCAATTTGGCAATGTTTAACCTTTGTATCTGCAAAAAATAGTGTATCAGAAGTATGCTTTTTCACTTGACACCATTATTATTTTAATTACCTACATCCTTAGCAATGTTTATTGTTTTTAATAAAACCCAAATGTGCGTTTATACATTTTCATTGTTCTTGAGAATTTACAACAAAAATATTAAACACTATTTAGTCATTAGATTGTTTATTTACAAGAATAATTTTATGTTTACAACATTCTAAAGATATGAACCAACTAATTTAGTGCAATATTTATCTTTTACCATTTTATAAAGAAACAAATGTAAAAACTATTTTTTTATTTATGAAAAATTTACTAAATTATTAAAATATGTGAACTAATTATAATAAGATATTTATTATTTACCATTTTATAGAGTTCAAATTGATTGGCAACTGAACAATGCTTTGTCAACCATTCCAAAAACAAAGAATTTGCCAGCTTTGCCAATTGCTTTAGTCAAGGTGCTTAGTGTCCACTCTACATTTAAGATTTCTTCATCAGTCAGCACTTGGCTGACAATAAATAATCTATTGGCAGATTTTCTCGGCATTGTTTTAGAAAAATTAGCAACAATTTAGAAAATTTTTTAAATCTTTTTTTCAAAAAATGTAGGAAGTGGGAGTAACCTATAATTGCTGGGGTTTCAGGCTTTGTTTTTTTTATTGACTAGGTGCCCTTAACCCTAGATTATGGTTATAAAAAAATATTGGAAAATTAAAACAAAAAGTAATCTGAGATATCAAATAACTTGAGAAAAAATGTATAATGTCCATAAAAATCATGTTTATTTCAATTTTCTTGTTCTGTACTTCATAGATATTTTTTATAAAATTGTGAATAAAAAAAAAACTTGTTTTCATAGTTATAAAATGGTAAATAATAAATATTGCATCATAGTTGGTTCACATATTTTTATAATCTTGTAAATAAAGGAGTCAAAAGTGTATAAGAGTAATAGTAGTTTCAAGGGAATAACCTTTTGGAACACCTTTTTTTTTTCTTTTTTTTTTTTTGAAGGGATGTAGGTTAAACTTTGCCAATAAATTTTATAGATTGAAATTCACATTACCTATAGGATCACCTCTTAGTGGTATTTTACCCTGTCTTTTCTTAGAATTTCTAGAAACAAGATTTATTCCAAACTATTTTACCTAAAGAATCAACATATTCCAATGTACTGATAATACTTTATTAACATACACCCACAAAACAATATTACTTTATCTCATAAATAAAAAAAAATTGAGCAATTTAAATTTACTGATGAAACAGAAACTAACATTACCATTTAGATAACAATCTAAAACTAAACATCTACCAAAAATTCACTAAGAAAAATGATTTCTTAAACTTCAATTCACACCAAAACAAAATAAAATCTGAAATCATTATAAATTTTTACTTAAAAGCACTTAGAATTTATAGCCTTCAATATCAACATGAAGAGAAATATATTGAAAACACTTTTGAACTCCTCCATTATCCTAAGTATCTCACATATAATGCAAAGAGAAAAGCTTACAAAAGTCAAAAATAAAAATAATCCAACCTTCATAAAATTAGGTACATAAAAGTACCTACCAACTCAATAATGACTAAATTGAAAAGAATTTATCTAAACTTAATATGACATTTCTCACAACTGTTTTAAAAACAGTTTTACTCCTTGACGCAAAACAAAATAATAATGACATTTTTTTTCCTATTAGAAGAATAGATTTTTATTGTAAATATTTCACTTTTTATTTATAGGGGACAAATTGAAAAACATTATCCCGATGGGACTCAGGAAATCACATTTCCTGACCAGACTGTCAAATATCTTCGACCGGATGGCTCTGAAGAAAGTCATTGTCAGGATGGAACAGTGATAAAAGTTGATGCCAATGGTGTCAGAACTTTAGAATTCCCTAATGGGCAAAGAGAAATTCATACAGAAAAATTCAAAGTAAGTCTTTCTAAAACCTTTTTTTCTTAATATAAAAGTAAAAAAGACCATTTGACTTGTAAAATCTTGTCTTGACTGTTTCCTGGTTAAATGCAATGGTCAGGTGCATTGCATTCAGTAAATAGCAAAATAACAACAATAAAAATGAACATGTTAAAACAACAAGGGGAAAGAATAAAAAAAAATGCTGCAGGGTGGGGGGACAAAAAATATTATATTACTGTAAACTGGTAATATTGAAATACAAAACAGTTAAAAAAAAAATGATGTTTTCTGTTAATTCAGCCCAAAATATAAAGGATTTATATTTACTAAAATTCATATCAAATTCTCCCAGAGAAAGGCCTTCCCCTTGCACTCTGATTGTGTTGACCTTTGTGATCATTTTAAATGTGGGTGATTTGAGTGCGCTGTTTCAAGTATGGAGTCTCTGTTCATTCTAACCTCGATAAACATGCCAAAAACATCTTTTTCCTTTTTTTTTTTTTAAATTTTAAAAATTCCTAACCTTAACCCATGCTAAAAATTTAATTAAAAAAAAAAAAAACACTTTGATTAAAAATTTATGATTTCTTGCAGAGAATTAATATTTGTGACAAGAAACTTTGCATTATTTGGGGTGAATTAGCAGAAAAGATCCGAAAAAGAAAAGCAGCTTAACTGGTTTATCAATCCTTTCTCATCAGGGTGCACATCAAGTAAAATAAACACCAAAGATTGAATGTTATGCAATAAATTATAACAAAGGCTGATCATATTCAAGCTTATTAACTATTCCTTTTGCTTACAGAGGGATGGCTACCAGGACTTAATATAAATAGATTCCAACACATTCAAGTGAAAATCCAAGTGAGCCTTCCTGAGTACTGAAAATGGATTTTCACCTGAAGGCATTAATATATAAATTTTTATGCAAGAGTTAGAATTCAGATTGCTTAAATGATTGCTTAACTTTTTATGCTTGGATCGGATAAACAGAAAAAGGCATTTCAATGTAATTAAAATAATATAATTAGTTGAATTCTTGAATATCGTATAAAATGACTCATTTAGTAACTTTTAGTCTCTTTAGTCACACTTTCATCAGCAGTAGAATTACTTAAGATTTAATCAAGTTTGATTACAGTTACTTATAAACAAACATTGTGTATCTCTACTATTATTCTGTTTCTATATACTGTTGTTATGCTTTCCTGCTTCGGATCAGAGTGTAGTAATTGTGCTGGCTTTTCTGACTGAGAAATCTACATAATATTCATCAAGAAGGAATTGACAAGAGAGAGTAAGAGGAAGTAGACAAAAAGTGTCAATGAAGTAAGAAAGCTAAAGAAGAAAGAAAAGAAAACTAGATGAAAGGAAAAAATAACTGTCCACATATAGAGAGAGTAGGAAAAATGGAGACAAAAGAAAGACATTGAGAGAGAGGCCTCAAAACATAATAACAGATCAGCTAAACAATGGACACCAGATGTTGGCCAGAGAGTAGTTGATTGAAACATTTGTGTTTATAACAATCAAAAAATTCAAAATACCTAAAGAGTAATGTCCTTCCTATGTTCCATAATTTCTTCAGTTCTCTGGCAAGGTCTAGATACTTGTCCAGCTTTTTTCTGTCTTGTTTTCACTCTGTCACCTGCTTAAACAGTGAAATCCACTGACACATTTTTCTCTTCATTCATGATCTGATCTTCTATCCTTGATTCAGTGATCCAGTTGAATCTCAGCTAAAGATTTTGTAGTTTTCATTCATTCTTTAATACGCATTTATATATTATTGATCTGTATGGCCAGATAGCACTCATTTGTGCAGTTCTCAGTGGATCAACCTTCCCACCAATGCATATCTATTTTCTAATTTTTAGTTTTGTATCATCTGCATTTGCTCTTCCCCTGTTTCTTCTCTCTTTTGTACTTTATATAATTACTTCTTCTAATCTTCTGTTGAGTTTGTTGCATTCATTTACGCAGAACTACATTTGAAAAAGGTATGAATTCATTCATTCATCTTCTCCCTTCAGCTATGTATTAAATAGTAGGGCTTGTATCTGGAAAAAAAATTATCTCCAAAAAATTGTTAATGCAATGTTCAATGAGAAAAAAAAAGTTTTTCTTAAAATAAAAAAAAAACATGTTTCAGCTTTAAATAACTGACAAAGGGTTAATAATATTTAGAGTGAGTGGCCATGGTTAAATGTAAATAATTGGCAGAACTGCCCAACAAAGTTTGCAATAAAGAATAACAAGAAAAAGAAAAGAACAGGGCAAAAGATAATATAAAGCAAGCAAACAATATATGCAAGATAAATTATCAGTAATAAGGTAAAGCAACAGTAATATGGCAAAAAGTTCACAAACTAAAAATTAGCATTAACACACAAAAGCAAGTTCAGACAAGTGAACATAGCATTCTGACTTCAAGACAAGACAGACTTGGACTGAGTCAGATAAAACTGAGAA